TTCACTTTTTGCAGCCCGCTTCGCTTCTCTTCCTTCCCCCCCCCCCATGTCTGCGATTTTGGTGCCAGCCGGATCCCATTAGCTCAGCGAGAGAGCTTTGGGGGATCACGTCACATGCCCGGCGACAAAACGAACAACTTTTGGAGCCTTCGTGATACCTGGTCTCGTCGGTTTGGATGATCAAGGACCAGTGTAAATAACCACTACTATAAAACTCGGTTGATAGTGGAGAAGAAAACGCAAACGCAGCGGTCTGTCTGGAATGTAATGTGCGTTGTATTCTGGTATTTGCTAAAGAACTGATCGAGGACTATTTTTCAATAACAACAACACATTTTCAATTCTCGAATCAGAAAACGTCAAAATCCGTCGGGGATTTGCTTTGCTTTGTTATTGTCTCACTCCTCTTCTGACTCGGTGACTATTTGATTCTTCTGACTTCACTTCAATTGAGTACAAACACGCACGGACCGCGCTCTGTTGCACATGGATGGCGTGAAAAGCGAAATCGAGTGAGATGCGCCGAGAGAGAGAGAGAGAGAGACAGAGATCGTTTTCAGCGATTAGTACTCGTCCCAAAAGAAGAGAATGGGTAAAAGGCATCAAGATTTGAAACTCGGGCCCCCTGTGCTCTCTCCTCTCGTGTTTCTATCTACTTTTGCTTTTGCTTTTGCTCAGGCGCTACTCCTCTTTGCATCAAGTTTTTCTCCCCCCTCCGCTCTTATTTGCTTCCCCGTCAATTTTTTTCCCTCCTCTTCCACCCCTTGTTTGGTAATGATCATTCTTTGAATCTCTACCTCATTCGGTTCAAAGAACGTCCTCCTCGCCTCTCTTTTCCGCGTACAGTAACCCGAGACCTAACCCTCACCCCAATTATGAACAACGTCCATGACCTTCCTATGCCTTTCTCCTTTTTTATGAGACCGGCGGGACGGTTCTCTTCTTCCTCTTCTTCTTGCCCACTTTCTCCATTCTTAAAGTGACCTTTTTACACTGGAGGGCTGAAAAGCGAAAACTTGATGAAACCGCCATAGCGTCTCGCGCACGCGGCCCCCTACCCCCTCCGCCCGACGTATAAATTATATAGTTTAGCGGGGGGTAACACCTTGAAAATTTTTGGAACCTACTGAGAGAATGAAAAGAAAGGAGGAGGAGAAGAAGAAGAAGAACCTGACTTCTCTTCTCTTCTTAATTCACCTTTATCAGCTGTAGGCGACTCGACTCGCTTTCCCTTTTCTTGAAGACCTCCTTATTTTGGCGGCGGCGCCCCCCGCTGAGATGATACGGTAGAAGTGAAGTGGTGGGAAGAGGAGAAGAAGAAGAAGAAGAATTAGAAGAAGAAGAGCGAGAGAAAGATTTATAGACTATTGTGCCCGGAATGAACCCCCAAACACCGCAAAACATGTCAGGAGTTTTATGCACTCCCTTCACTCGGTCCTTGATAATTTATTCATCTGTTTGAAGGAATAAAGGGAGGAAACAACGAGGCGACTGACTCATTTGCCACTGCCATTTTCTCATTTAAAAGTAGTGGTCATCAAGGTCTGACACGTCATCACAAATGGTCTTAGTCACAAAGGATGGACCGAAGGAAGTGTCCCCCCCCCCCTTCCCAAGTGTATGGAAAGGGCCTGTTTTTAGTACACAGTGGCGAGTGTGGGGTAGCGGGCCGAACCTCAATGAAGTTTGCCCTGTTGCTGCAATGATTTTTCGGAAGAGTTGCGGAAAAGAGATATTGAAAGCAAGCTACACGTAGCCACCATTGTCTCGCAGCTCTAGACAACTCTCGTCGCTTGTCTAGCCGAGCCGGGCCCGCACGTAGCGGCTTCTGTCTAGCGTCTCGGGCCGGCGCAGCCTAGTCAAATTTCATTGGATGAGTGGCACTTTGTGCTTTTGGGCTCCGCAAGAGGCAGATCAGAACACAAAGGCAACGAATCGGACGAGGAAGGACCCTTGCGGCGGTGGTGCGGTGCAACGCGGAACCAAAAAGAGCATCCGTGCCCTTTTTGTGCTACGGTTCTAAATAATTCAAAACACGTCGCCTCCCAAATGGACCCTTTGTGTTTATCTGTTTTATATTCAGTCCTAGGAGGGTGTATGCTTCTTTGTTTGGATCTATCGGCGATCTTCTCGCAAACAGACTGCGGGGGGGGGGGCTTGAATGGAAACTGAGCTTCTGAACTTTAACGCCTGATTATTCACATTTATTTGACGAGCCGAAGGTCGGTGAGTTAGTGTCACTCGGTCACCCCACTCTTATCAGTTCTTGCGCTTATCAAAAAAATGCGGTAAGCCCCTCTCTTCGTTCTAGACCATTCGGGTTTTGAAATCATAAGCCGAAGGTGCAAAGTTTGAACTCGCCTCAAAAACGCGCAAAACTGTACTAATCCGAAAACTTGAGTAAACATGTGAACCCTGGAGTACGCAAAACTTGCCCCTCGTCGAGGTTTCTCGCGATGTATTTCTTGTTCAAGTTAATTAATCTCGGCGGGGACGGCGGCGGATTACAAAGGAAAGGAGGGGACCACCGAGGGTGGGTGCCGTCAACGTCAGCCGGCAGTTGTAGCTTGTAGCTACCGTGTAGTATCCAGGCCTATTTCTCTGCTTTGATCGCATTGACCCATCAATGTACTATTTGAGCAGGCTGAACTAGCGGATTTCGATAGTGATTCCGATTTTGCAGAAACCGATTTAATCTAGCCTATGCCTGTCGTAACATCATCATTGTTTCAAAAGAACTGTTTCAAAACCAAAAGTTGCGATGCATCGAAACAAGTTGCAAGTTTTTCAGTTTCTAGTTCAATCGAGACCAATACCGTACAAGTCGTAAAGGTCTCCTGCAACGGTCTGACCGTATTGATAACCGAATTTATGCACTCGACAAGTTGTTTAGGGCTGGTCTTTGAGTCTCCATGACAGAGGAATACGAATACGAACCATAACTTTTACTGCGGCGCAAGCCTTTCATCTTCACACAGTTGGTTTTGTGTCCCGGGCACTGGGCGAGTCATAAAAATCTTTATTTCATTATCCATCCTGGTAGGGGGTTGGTTTCTAGTCCCGAGGAAAAAGCAGCAGAAGAACGGAACAATTTGGAAGAAAACACATTTTCTTAAGCCTCCCCCCGGGTTTTATTGTTGTGTTTACGTGTGTCCCGGCCACCGAATGCATATACACTTTGGTGGTGATGAAAATGGCGCCGTTTCCTCGAAAAGCTGAAATCTGTTCCTTGAAAACGGCCGGAAAATGTTCGTGCCCTCTCCACGTATCTGTTTTCATCTCTTCCTTGCCCCTTTTTATCCGAAGTGCCTCGCATAATTCAAAAGTGGAAAACACGAACAAATCACTTCCCTGTCAGGGACCTCGCCGGACAACAATCTTGTTGATAGTTCAGCCGATACAAAGATCTTTTGTCTTCGATTTTCCCTTCTCTCTCTGCAAATGTGCAAGATTGCAGAGAAGAGGAAAGAAGAATGTGCGAGAATTGATAAGATTGTGGGCGAAAGTGCAACTTATCGAGTCTCTGCGAATTGGAGCATGATATGAAGAGCAGCATTTCGAAATGCACTGATAAACGACGACGAGGCGAGGCACCAATTGGACCAGGTTCATCATTGTCACACAAAAGACTGAAGGCCGGGGCAGAGCTGGCTGGCTGGCTGGCAACTTGCACTATACCGTGTTGTAATTGTAATTGACGTCTCTGTGACGCCCTGGATCCGGCTCCGCGTCGTCTTTGACTGTCAGTTTGATTATCTTTCCAACCTCCGACCAAACAAGGAAGAAAGCGATAGCATTTCAAAAATTGAAACAAGACTGAAATAAATTGAGGGACAGTACCTGGTTATCAGCCATTTCGATCTTGTTTTGGCCATTCTTTCGCATTAAAAGGTACTAAACTATTTTTTCAACACACTTGCATCAGATTGTTTCGAACAAGTACCGTATACCTTGTGCCGACAAGGAAGCAAAGGATGTTCGGTGGTTTTAAGCGAACGGAGTCAGACTCTCCGAATCAGATAATTCCTGTATTCCACCCAAATAAGATTGTCATCTCACGAAAAAATTATGATGTCACTTGATCGTACAGCCACCGCCAGATGGTGTCAGCCGGTGCGGCATCGTTTCTTGCGTCTTTGAATGTGTTCCGATACATTTTGTGCTTGTGCGCACTGCGAACAAACTTGGAAATACTGGCCAAGACACCAAAAATCGTTCGTCCAAGAAGGAGGCCAAGAGCAAAACTCTCGAGTCGGTCCGCATTTCCTGCTCTTGAGAGGCAACTCCGCTGGGCCTAGATTACATCACCCCACCCCGGAAGAAGTCGGCTCACACCTAAAATACCGTAGTCCTCCTGTATTGCACCATCAGATCACATCCGAGCTCACTCATTCTGATGCAATCCTTTTCTTCTTCGTGAGCCTGTCTTTACCCACAGGCCTACCGCCTCTCTGAGAATCTCGCTCCGGAGCGACGAGAGTGTGCCTCTCATCTGCGCATCCACCCGGAGACGCAGAAACGGGTGGCTTTGTGTGCGTGCGTCTCTAACCCGGCCCGAATGTCTGGCGTGTCTAACTCTCTTTCTCTCTCTCTCTCTTTCTCCCTCTCAGTGCCCCGCCTGCCCTCCTCCCCCCGTCTGTCCAGGCCCAGCCCCTTTTCGCCTATTTATTGTGGCCCCGCCCCCGAGGCGATTCGCCCCCCGCCACTCGATTTATCGGTCCGCTGTGCCTTTGGGGAGTAGGAGTAGCGGCCGAAAGGCACTCCAATCGGGCTTTTAGGCCTCGCTCATTTTACGAACAAATTTGCTCCAAGGTTCTTGACCTATTAGGATTTTAGGATTTGAACGATGAGGAATTAGGATTAGGGATTAGCTAAGCCTAGACACATCAACGTCAAACACTTTGGGGCTGTCCTTTGCCTATTACGCTTCCGTTTTTTGCTTCTTTACTACAGTATACCCTAGGACTAAATTATTATTTTCCAGGTGATTCACTTTGGCAATGAGCGCAGTGCAGGATAACGGGAAAACCATATTAACCAACAACAACAATATCAAAACGAAGAAGCGGATCCAACGCAAACGTGTACCGGAGGAGGGCAAACAAGAAGCTCAGGAGGATGTTCTGATGACCGGAGCAACGGGTTACTCCAAGAGCTGGTCGGTGATTCAGCGCGCCGTCGACACGCTGATGACCGAGTCCACGATACCGGTGCCACACTCGACGATCAAGAACCGGGAGCCGAGACACATGCCGAAACGTCGCATCCTGGTCAGCTTGTACCGCGACGTGCTCCTCAACAATCTGATCTTGAAGACCCAGAAGTTCCAGATGGAGTGAGTTTTATTTTTTTCCTTGCAGAACCTCAAGTAGGCAAGCAACAACTCCTTTTTATCGATCACTATGAGAGTTGAGTTGCCCCCCCCCCCATAAGGAGAAGTGGTTGTATGTAAGATTTGCTCCGTCAATGGTCCTTTCACGCACGTACACTTTGCAAAATTTTGCTTTGAAAAGGCTTTCGTGCAAAGAGGGGTCTCACTTCGCTTTCGGCAAAAGCGTATTAGTGGCTGAGCGCCGAATACGGGGCGGGAAACCGAAATATTTGTTCAGTAATTGTATCTTCTCGAGAAATGACTTCTTCTTCTTCTTCTTCTCTCCCTTCTTGGCGTCCCCGGAGCCGAAAACAGTAGATCACTTTACTTAGTCGTAAACAATACGTAGGCGTGTGACAATCTGACGTTTCTTGCTCTTTTTCTGCTCTCAATTCGCAAAATCTTGAACAGAATAACAATCCTACACAAATCACTGACGTAAAAGTCCAATGGTCAGAGAGGGGGAGCTCAAAATAGAAATACCACAAGTCCCAAGGCGATCAATTAGAGTTTATTTTTCAGATACGAAGCTGAAGGTGCTCCGTTCACGCGTCAGGTGATCATCGACTATCCGACGGAGCGTCAGAAACCGCGCAAAGAACGTCACTACGAGTTCTGGCCGTTCTTCGAGCAACTTCCAGAGCTCGAGGAGGAGGCCGAGCCGGTTGCTCCGGAGGACATCAAGGAGGAGGAGATCCACGACACCCTCGGGTTCACTGCGGACTCTTCGATCGAGTTGGCCGAGGAGTGCAAGGAGAACTCGCAGTTTTTGCCGGCTCCGTTGAGCGAGGAGATCACCAAGGAGATCGGAGACCTCTTTGCTCCGAAAAAGTCGAAGCCGAGCGCCGGTTTCATGGAGAAGTACATGAAGAAGGGTCCGTTTGCGAGAATCTTCTGAAATCCGACAGGACCATTGTCAAAGCACCTTTTTCTAGTGTAGATCACTTGCTTTCTTTCTGTAGTGTCAAGTAGCAATTTCATATTTAACATTCCCGAACCACTGTAGTTTCCCAATTCTCGTAGATTTCGCTCTCAGCTGTACTTATAAGCTTAGATGTTCATACAAGTGAAAATCTGAAAATCCCAACAGCTTTACTTTCTGACCCTTCCACACCCTACCTTCGAATACCTCAACTATCTCATGCTCTCAAAAAAACTTTGTTCGCTTTCCCCTCAACTAACCCTTACTAACCCCCGAACCTCTCTAAACAATATTCCAAAAATTTCAGCAAAAAAATGTTCAAAAAAAAGTTAAAAGGTTCAAAAAATCCCACCCAAAAACAGTTGCTTTTCCCCCGATTTCTCCTCCATCATTCCATTTTTTTATATATAATGTTGCTGGCCGAGTATATACTCATCTTGTTTTGGTTATCTAGAATAATTGATGAAAGTTCAAACAAAGTCACTATCTCCCGCGAAACCATTGTGACCAAATTCTCTTCTTCCACATCCTCTCTTTGAAGCCTGTCCGTACACTTCGATATCATTTTTGTGTGACTTCTAGATAGTCAGCCACTCGTTTTTTTTCTCCCCAGCCCCCCAATTGTTTTCTGCCCCCTGCAATTCTACGATGTACCTCAAAACCCATTCTTGTCCAGAAGGACAACATATGAGTATTCTTGTCTTCTCCAAAAACGTCTCGGTTACTGTATGCCCAACTCAGTGCTACCATTTTCTTGTTTCAATGGATTATTTTTCCTCACACGTGTCAGCAGGGACCCCACCTGTTGTTTTCCAAGAACTCTTGCTGCCCCGACCGTCCTCTCGAAATGTACTATATTGTCCGCTTTGCTGATGATGTAAAAACTCTCCCACCCTAATCATATGCTCCGCGGACCCTTCCGATCGAAGCTTTTCCCCCCTAATAATAGTATGATTTTTGTTGTTTTGAACTCGCCCATGGTAGGCACGTTCGGTTTTTTATGATGTGTATGTTTCGTATCTTTAATTTTCTTTTTGGATAGTGTATTTTTGATGGTATTGTTCCAACCCACCCCACACACACCCACACACACACTTTTGGTCTCTGCTTTTTCTTCTCCCGTCAAGCTTTTCCTGATTTCTCTTTCCTTCATGTATAAAACTTAGAAATGAATAGTTTACTGGGCAAATGAATGAGCAATGGCGACAAGAAAGCATCAAGAATCAGATGTGTGGCGAATTAGATATTAATAGTGGGGTATGGGGCTTCAAATCTCCATATAATTATTTCCATTTCCCAGAAGGCGCGCCGCTCGAACACCAACTTATTAGTCAGGCGGAAAGAGAGGGGGAGCTATGCGTCATAAAGCCCAGGGAAACCGACATTATTTTCTGGAACCGTTTGGAGACAAACTGTCTAGGGCAGTTTTCCTTTTCTCCGTCGTTTTCGCCCCACGAAAAGTGTGCCAAACATTTGACAAATACACAAACGCACACTGACACAAAGTCGGTATACTTTGGCTCTGGTAAGATGCATTTGGGGTCTCAAAATAAACAGAAATTGAAACTCTTGCCCGCGGGCACCATAGACCGGCGCAAAAATGTATAGAGGTGTGGATGGGGAGACGGGGGGAAAACGGCGCTAACAGTTCAGTCCAGACTCTCAAATTTCAGCCTTTATAAACTATTGTTCATTGATGTGATGGACTAGACTCGAGTTGTTATTTCTGTCCCATCGGTCCGTTTTGTGGTGGTGCCGAGCTGAGAGGAGGTGCACAAGGACGGGCCGACGGGCAGGAAGATGAATGAGAGGGCATCGACGATGGATTCAAAGAGCACGGGAAGGGCAACTGATTGCAGGGAGTAATGGATCACATGGGTCCGGCCGGTGGACGGGGAAAGCAGAGATCCGCACCAGGAGCAGAGGAAATTGCGGGCATTAGCAGTGGTCGGCTTAGCGATTTGGAGGGCTTGCAGTTTTGGACCACTTGCAGTATTCCGATCGAACCCAAACTTTGCAGGTTTCCCTAGACGAGTATATCTCTTGAGTTTATCATCTGATTGGTTTGAAACTTGGGCCACAAATACTTCAATCCCAGCTCAAGAAACCCGCAAAGTTTGGGCCCGATTCGAATAGTGCTGAACAAAATTTCAGAACCGAATTCCATTTTGAAAGTTGGAAAAATCATTTGTGCTCCGAGAAACATCAATTTTTCCAGCTGTCTTCAGAAAATATTATCAAATTTTGAGTTGTTTCCTTATTTCGTGAGCAACTCCAAACTTCCAGGCACTTCCGGTTTCCGGCTTACTCTGATTGCTCGCCGCGTTTTCCAATTTTCACGGAACAAAGAGCACTTCTCTTTCTTTCTCTCTCTATCTGATGTTATCTGCCCACTTTTTCAATTATCCAACGGAAGGAAGCGGACTTAATGAGAAAATTTCCGGACGCACGTCGACGAGTTCTTCTTTATCTCGAATTGTTATTTGAATGGCTGAAATTGTGGGGGATTCTAAACAACAATCGCGTTGTTTAATTGTGATGAAGTGAAGTGCACTGACAGTTTGACGGAAAACAAGATTCATCCTGAACTTCAAACTTTAGGGGCTCAATTCAGGTTTTGAAAGAAGTTCTGAGAAGAAGAACCAATTAAGTAAAGTGTACCAGTTGACGAGTTTCTATCGGAAATCTATCGGAAATGGAGTCACATTATGTGATTGTCTAACGCACTCATGTGCCATTCCGGAACCGGTTCGACGACATCCATCATTGCCCATGTTTATAGTTCTCTTTTCATCTCTCGCTTTCAGTCTCTATACCTCTTTCCAGTGATCACTTGACTGGTCGCAAAGTGAGTGACTTTGAAAGCGAAATTTGAATCGGATTCGGAAAAAAAAACAGAAAAAATGAGTCTGGCGGCACGTTCTGAGGGAACGCAGGGGGCAAAGATCCTCGAAAGATTCACGTAATATTTGCGGAAATGTCTTCTCGAATGTCATGAAAAACCACTGTTGACGTTCGTACCTCAAGTTTGCCATTGTTCAGGTCTATTTGCGGAGGAACGCTCGGCCTGCAACTGTTCCCAAATTGTTTTGTGCCACACTTCTTTCTGACCTTCGCACGTCGGCCTACACAAACACATAGTTATCGAGGACACAAATATGCTTTTCGCCCAAGGTGTTTGGACGAAAGGGATCGGAAGGTGAGGGTTAAATTCCTGGAACGTATTTTTCAGATTTTTACTTGGAAAGTTGATTTTTTTTATTGAAATTAGCTAGTAAATTAACTACAAAACGTTTAGACCCATGTCCTAGAGTTTTATCTTTCCGGTCAAATTCTACGTTGAAATTAGTTTGATACCCTTCCAACGTTGTTTTTTTCCCCTTCAACTTTTCGAAGAATCATTAAGTGAACACGCACAGCCTAATCTGACATTACATCTTTTCCCCTCCACTTTCCTCTATTTTTTGCACTTCTCTTTCAGATGGGGGAGAGAACTGAATCCAGTTTCTGTGAGAATCAATCTTCCGTCCGCTATGAGTATGTATGCATACGCATGTTTCAACCGGTTCATTTCAAGTCTTCAACTCAATTTGACTAGATGTGACCGTACGTTTTCGCTCGCTTTAATTCGCATTCATACTGATTCTGATTTCAACGATTTAGTTTTAGTTTTGGCTGTTGCACAACTCATAAGAGCTAGCTCAGATTTATGAAAAATTGAAGTTTGATGAAAACAATGATGAACCTACATCTCTAGAGTTTTTGCGCGTTTTCAATAAAGTCACTCATATTTATTTAACCTCAACTTAAAAAGTTTCGAAGGGAGGGCTCCTGCTGTCTTTTTTCAACTTTCCAGACGTCAGAAAGGCACATTGCCTAGTACCAGTACCAATCAGTTCTCTGTTGGAAAATGCGACCACCACGGACTGGAAGACGGGTTTTATTGTTGTCGAAACGTTGCCGTGCTGGTGCCGGCCGCTCGTACGACAAGCAGGTTATTGAGAAAACGCGAACGAATCGAGAACCGGTTTACGATGAGGGGGTAGTCTCCGCGTCGCGGTCCTCTTCCACCCGGCACACTGTCTCTAACCGCGCTCATGTTGCGGCCCGTCCTCCCCGCACTCTTTTCTGCCTGTATTTCTGTTTTCTCTCACTTTTCGTCCCCCTGACTAAAACTCGCGACCCGTTTTCGCCGTTCGTTCCACTTGTTTGGACTGTGATTTTTCGCAAATTTTCTCTCGCTGATAACACCATTATTAGGCTTGATTTGATGTGCAAGACACCTTTTTGCCTATTATCTGTAGTTTGATATAAATTCCAATCCAATCAATAAATCATTTGCTCCATTCCTTTTGAAATCTTCTTAAAACTAGTTTCCACCAATTATAAATTTTCAGCGGACTCTGAAAATGAAGCAAGTTAAAGCAGAAATAATCGATATCGAGTATGATGAACAACAAAAGTGGCGGAAACGAGAAGAAAACGACGATGATGCGCTGATGGTGGCGCGAAGAATCAAACAAGAGTTCGAAGATGCTCAAAACTCTCCAACCCCTCCACCTCCGCCACGTGTAATGCACGTTATTCACGAAAAGTAAGAAAAACCAGTCGAACTGTGCAATTTTACGGCCCGGCGCTTAGCAACTTATCCGCACCCTTTTTTGCACAATAATCAGCCTCGCCGTGCCCGGAATCTTGCGAATCTGATAAAAAAAACTGTCAGTTAGTCCTCCCTTTGTCTCTCCGAAATTTTCATCAAATTCATGAAACCGGGTGGCCGACGGACGCGCGAGCCACTCGCCCCAAAATACCGGTCCGAGGGGGTCTATTTGCGGCGCCTCGATCAATCGAAGCTCCGCCGTTTTATTATTTTGAAGACCGGTTGGCGAGTAGTCGTTGACGGATATGCGGGTGCCAGTATTCGCTCACTGCCCGGTTTAACATGGAATTTGTTCAAAAAAAGAAGGAGAGGAAAAACAGTACTAGTTTCTAGTGAATTAAAGGAATTCATTACGACTTTGTCATTGTCTTTTCACTTTCTAATATTTCAATGCTCACGCTATTCCGGAATACCAAATAAGCTAGTGCATTCAATTAGAAGTGGATTAACATTTACAATTGAATATCCATTTAGGTCATGTTCAGTTTTCCGGGGGACACAAAACAAAAGCCGGAAATTGAGGCTATTCGCATGAGCACCACACCAGAATCTCGTTCTTTCGGGACCGGTTAATTAATCTGGGCAGCTGTAGAAGAAAGGGAAAAAGAGAGTGCATGTGTGTGCCCGCACATTTTCACATTTTCACATCACACACTTTTCGAAACAAGGGACAAAAGTGTAAGATGCGGAGCCTGGGATACATACATACATATCGGCCCCTGGTTAATGAGTTTTTCATGGGGTGGAAATGTAATGTATTGATGTGAAACGAAAGAGCAAAGATCCGAGAGGGACCAGCTTCAACTGTGTGACTTTTTTGCAGCCATCGACCGGAAATTGAACGACCCGCTGCTCCGCTTGTTTTCGATCATTTCATTTGTATGCGCATCGGACTCAATTCCAGAAACAATGTTCAACGATTAATGGCTCTTTTGGTTGGTTTTTATGACTCATTCTGGTTGGTTCGAGCCGGACAACAATAGAATTGAAAATGAAAAGTGACACGAGAATTCATTACAGACTGCTCATGAATTCGTTGATCTCACCGTGCTGCCCGGTCCCTCAATGATGCCTCCGCCGATGCAAACCATGATTCAAATGGGTGAGATTATTGGGATCAAAATTGTTTTCAAATTTTTGAGAAAATTTCAAAAGTTTAGTTCAAATTTGGCGGAGCGATAGATTATTAGCAACTTTACCGCACTTTTCGCAAAAAAAAGTTCAAAATCGTCGGCCCTACCCGGAATCGTACAAATCTAGAAAAAAACGTTTCGACAAAAAGTTGAGAATGTTCTTACAGGTGTGCCTCATCATCCTACCACTCGCCAACCTCGAATGATGATGCCATGCGCCCAGGAGCCTTCAACATCTTGTTCCGCAGAAATAATGGAGGTGGAACCCCGAATGCGACTCCAACCTCAACACGTCAAACTCAAAAAGAACTTTGTGAAAAAGCTTGCTCCAAAACCGAGTTTTATCAGATCAGCGGTACTGAAACAGTTCTCAATGCGTTTTTTGAAAGTTGTTGTTTAGTTCCAGCCTTCTGCTGATTGCGGTATTATACCCATCAACATGAACTGCAAAAAGTGTGACGAAATCATACCGAAAGGTTCACAGTAAGTCAAACACGTTATTTCAATCAGAATTATGATAATTTCAGTGGCTCGAGCGCTTTGAATCACGTGCAGAAGAATCATTTGAAGATGGCAGCATTTCAGTGTCGGATCTGCAAACATTATAGGACAACACAGGAGAGGGTGAGCATTTTATTCATATTTGCAACGGGCCGGTCTTAAATGAATAGTTCTATTATCAAACTGAAGTAAGTTGAAGTTAAACTTCATTTCTCAAAGCGTTTTTTCCACAAATTTTAATATTACATCTATTTTTTTAAAGATACAATCCCACGTGACCACCGTTCATAAAGCAAAATCCACAAAGTTCGACTCATCTCTAGCTGGACCGCTGTCAGCAGATGATATGAAGAAAATGGAAGAAATGATTACACATTGCTTTCCAAAGCTCAAAATGGTAAGTAGCAACTAAAAAAATATATTCAAAAAGCTTACTTTCATCTTTCAGGAACTCCAAGTGACAGACCGTCTCATCGCCAAAACCATGGAAGTCGATCTCAAATGATTTTATTCAAATCTATAGCATTTTATTATTTATTATTGAGTTTTTGAATTACTTGATCGTTTATATCATTCAGAATTAGAAGCTTGAAGTACAAACGTCTAGTCTCTCGTTCCCCCCTTGTTGTCTCAAATCATGTGTGATAAATAAGAGACGAAACATTTAAAATTGTCCCTTTTCATCGTGCTAGAATGGCCGTTAACTTGCCTAATGGGTTATTATCATCCAACTGATAGTGGCCATTCGCAACATGTGTGCACTCAATATGGTTTTCCGAACTTGACCATTGATACGGTCCAAACGATGTTTGAGTAGTGCTCAATCGGCTCATCGCCTTTCAGCCTGCCCTGTTTACTGTCTCCAGCCATCCTCAAAATTGTTATGAGCGGAAACTTAAGTCAGTCAAAAACCCTTTTGCGCCCACATTTTCTCCCTCTAGTTTAGGTTTATCGTTGTTCACCTTCTTCGTTTGCCAGTTTTATCTGCTTCACACATCTTCGAAAGGCAGTGTGACGACCCGACAAGATCAGATGAATTATGCGCACCAAATGCCAATCTTTCCTTGTTCCTCTCCTCATTCCACCCGCCAACTTTCGCCCATTTTTCTTCATAATCCGATTTCGGTCACCAAAATCACCGACTGTTCCTCTTTTTTTTTCTTTTTTCTTTGCACAAAACTGCAACATTGCCGGTTTTCTTATCACCACCTGCAAACGTGACAGTCTGTTTCAGGGGGGAAATGCCTTTTTTCGATGTTCCGACTCTGAATGTGATTCAACTTGGCTTCGGCTTCTTGACCAACTTTTTCGCGTTCAATTCTCAAGGATTCATCGAGGAAGCTGTCATCGACAGTGCCTCGGACTCTGGAAACTTGAACAAGCATGCGGGGTATTACAGTCTATCCATTATTTATGCGGTTTTCACAGTTGCCAACTTTGCCGCCGCACCAATTGTTGACATTCTCACACCTAAATGGGCAATGTTCTTTGGATCTCTTTGTTATGCAGTTTTTCAGGTTTGGTTGACATCTTTGTAATAGCCTAAACGTAAGTTAAATGGACTTTAGGTTGGCTTTCTATTTCTGAACGAATGGTATTTGTATGCGAGCAGTGCACTTTTGGGATTCGGAGCTTCTAGTAAGATTAGACTTACCAAGCCGATTGAATAGTTTTTTTCAGTTATTTGGACTGGACAAGGATCATATCTATCTCAAAATTGTACTAAGGAAACGACAAGCAGAAATAGTGCAATGCTGTGGGCCATGTCGGAAAGTTCCCTGCTCGCTGGAGGTGCCTTCCTGTTCATTGTCTTCAGCGTTCAAGGTGCAACTGACCAGATTGCAACTTCGACGGTTCGTTCCTTACAGAAACAAAACATCATTTTTCTCCTCAGATAAACATCCTCTACTCAGTCTTTTTCGTCCTTTCCCTCATCTCCTCCATCATCTTTGCACTTCTCCGTCAGCCATTCTACGTGGAAACTGTAGACCGCAAAAATTACGGCAAACTGGTTGGATCCACGTTCGAATTGATGTTCACCAAGAAAATGATCGCTCTCGCGTTTGTTTTCGCCTACACCGGAATCGAGCAATCTTTCTGGACAAGTGACGTGCCGGGGTTTTTGGTTTGTGTGAACCGATTTCTTTTTAGGTATTTACCCGACGTCGGTCTCGTTTACCCGAAAGTTGGGGAGTAACACGAACGCTCTTCTCGCTCTGAATGCAATTTGCACTGGATTCGGGCAGATGTTCGGTGAGGGAACGAGAATTCCATTTGAATAGAAAATTGACGCTCTTTTTTTGTATAGCTGGAGCAATTTTCGGTTTGCTTGGAGATAAATCGAGAAAAATCGGACGTGATTCTATAATTCTGCTCGGAACTATTGTCCATCTTGTGGTTTACGCGCTGTGCTACATCAACTTCCCCGCGGACTCTTCGCTGAAAAAAACCGACGACATGGGCGGACTTATAGAGCCGAGCTTAGCAATTGCTCTGATTGCGGGAGCACTTTTGGGCTTTGGTGACGCGGTGTGGAACACTCAAATCTATTCGTTCCTCTGCGATACCTATCCAAAGCAGAGTGCTCAGGCTTTCGCTCTTTTCAAATTCTATCAGGTGTGTTGTGTTTTGTTTCCTATCCAATTTTCCATCCAATCTACCTAAATTCTTTTCCAGTCCGCTCTCTCGTGCGCCGCGTTTTTCTACGCACCCGTGCTCCAACTCTACTGGCATTTGGTCATTTTGGTCATCACTTCTTTGTTTGCGGCAAGCTGTTTCTTTTATGTGGAAAGGATATCAAGGGAGACGACTTCCGTTAGAGATTCATACAATTTTGAAGCGGAAAAAGAGGCTAGAGCAGTAGGAGGGGATATACAATACCGAGTAGAGGATAATCTAGAGCATAATAGTAGGTTGCAAGGAAGCGGAGAGAACAAATGACCAAAGGGACAAATTGCAGGTGTTACAATGATGTCGAGAAAGTATACTGATCCGGATGCACTTCACAAATTTTAAATTAATACGCACAAGTAAGTTATGATTGTGCCAATTACCGCTTCAGGCTCTTGGATCGACTGCGCCCCACACTTTTTGCCGGGTTGCTCGCAGTGCAACTCCTTTGATGCACTTCCAAACGGTCGTCCTAAATTTAAAAATTAGAAGACGGAAGTCATTTATAGTGTTCACCTTGAACTTTCTGCCGCAATGTTCACACTCGACCATGAGTCCTTGAGAATTCTGCCAAAGCACCTCATTAGTTGCCTCCGAATCTACTCTCCCATCTAAAACATCAAACATCTTGTGCGGTTTTTCAGCTACTACCGTACCATCTCCGATAACCGCGTCAGGTTTGACCGGAGCAGCTCGTCGTTTCGATTTGGGTAGCTTCTCGTTCTCAGCATGCCACTTTTTCAGACATTGTGGCTCATGAATTGCTAATGTTTCATCGTTGTAATGAACAATACAATAAACACTTTTTACAACCAACCTATACTTTTCGATCCGAACTGACGTCCACAAATAAAGCAGAAGACGGTGGGCGCGGATTTTGTAGCTCGCGGAGGCCCGGGCGTGAAGTTGTTCTGGTTTTTTAGTTTTTGCATTTCCAAAAATGAAAAAAAAGTTTGAAGTTCTTACCATGGCTCTCGATAAGTTTCCAGCTCAATAAAGCGACAGAAATGCGAACCGGATACCGACGAAACGCGTAGAAACGGGCTCAAAGAGGCCCCTGGTTGAGAATGAGAATGCTCTTTCTCTTTCTCCTTCTTTCTCTTTCTATTGCGCGCGAGAGCAGGCAGCTAGCAGCAGCAGCAGCAATAGGAAAGTTTTTTGAATGCATGAGAAAAGGCCTGACGCCCCTCCTTCCTCTCGCTCCGCGTGCCAAAGCTCTTGTTTGTTGCTCCGCCACATCACCGTGGCGACGGACAAAATTTGTTTTAGCGGATGTGGGCAGCTGGAATCTGAAATCTGAAAGTTGAAATCCGGACCTTCTGAAGACGATTTTATTATTAACAAAAACAAAAATTTTCAAAATTCAGACAGCTCTGTTCCCGCGGGCATTTAAAAGTTTCGAAAATCAAATATTTTGTGTGTATGTGTATAAAATTGCGAAATTTATCTCTCCGTATCCAGTCTCTTTCGTTTGTCATCACTCCTTCTCCTTTTCTCTGAAATTTAGTTTAATGAAAAATGAGACACTCCTAATCCCTGCCCATAACTAACTAAACTAAACATACGGAGGATGAAGGAGAGAGAGACACAAACTAAAAGAATCTAATTTTCTGTCGATGTTACCACTATTTTAGTCGAATTTTTACTAACGAAATATCATGCGGACACCTGTTTAGAGCATGGAAACAAAGGGAAGTTTGAAGGAGAGCGAGTAGCAGACAGAGATAATAAATTAACAAAAAAGGGGGTGATGGCAAGGTTTGGTGTATTCATTCACATCTCGGTATTTCGGAAGTCTCTTGGCAGCGCCTTGTCTCCTGTGGCACGCGACCGGTTTGTCGCCGCCTCGACGGCATCCATGAGGATTCCCTGCAAATGAGATGGTCAATCTCTTATCACTTAATCGATTAGTCCTTTGTCAGTCCTTATCGTCTTACCTTGAGGCCTCCGCTCTCAAGTTTGTGCATTCCGTACACTGAAGAGCCGGCAGGACTTTGAACATCGTCTTTCAACTGAGCTGGATGCACACCCGTCTCCAAAACCATCTTAGCCGCGCCCAAAAGTGTGTAGGCGGCGAGTTTAAGAGCCAAATCACGTGGCAGCCCGACTTTGACACCGCCATCAGCCAATCCCTCGATCACCGCAAACATCTGAATCAAAAAACGGCATGTTATCACACCACAGAACACTCACGTAGCTGGGGCCTGAACCGGAAAGTCCGGTGACCGGGTCAATGTGGATCTCTGGAACCTCGACCGCAAATCCGACGGTGCTGAGAAGACGCTCGACGGTCTCTGCGTCTCCGTCACGACACGCGGAACCCATGGCGAAGGCGGAAGCGCCGGCGCGGACGACGGAAGGCGTGTTTGGCATGACACGGACGACACGCGACTTGGTGGGCAGCAACTGGAAGAGATTCGGTTCATGGGGGCTAGTATTAAGCATGGATTCAAAGTTGCTGACTTACCGACTCAATGTTTCTAATGGTGATGCCAAGAGCGATCGAGACCACGAGATGTTCCTTGTTGAGAGCTGGAGCAATCTCAGAAGCGACCTTGCTCACATGTGGGGGTTTGACTGCCAGAAAAATGACGTCACTCTTCTGTACAACTTCCGCATTTTCGTGAGTGGTGTTCAAGCCCATGGCTTTGCACTGTTCGAGAAGGAAATCATCTCGTTTTGGGGAACTGGCGATGATGTTGTCGGCTGTGATTCTTCCTAAAATTATAAAGATATTGAAGAACTACTTAAACGTTTCAAAAGCACCTGAGTTGATGAGTCCTCTTGCCAAGGCCTGAGCCATCTTTCCTGCTCCAATAAATCCGATCTTCATGTTTCTTTGAAAAGTCGGTAAAATCTGGAAAAACTTGGAAATATATAAAGAAAACGGGGATGGGAAGGAAAGAAAGTGCGAAAGTGACCGCCTGACCATTCCATGGTCACTCGAACAAGTTATCAATCCTATATTGTGCGGAGAAGGAGGAGAGAGCGGCCAAAACAGCGCAAGTGATAACAAAACGGCGTAGCTTCAACACTGATAACAAGTCTTCTGACCATTGCTATTCAAATTTTCTCAAACTTTCTGGGTATTGGACAAAATTGAAGGCGGGATGAGAAGGAAGAAGTGATAGGAAATCCTGTTGATAGGGAAGGACGTTTTAATAGGCGATTTGTGGGCAGGCGTGTTGCAATGTTATGTAATTCGCCCGCAACACGGTGAAAAAGGACGGGGCAGGTTCTGGTGTCTTCAAATCGCGAAAATGAACGAGGAAGGTATCCGAGGTATCTTACCTCGAACAAGTATTGTTGCACAAATTCTTATCGTATCTCAATTTTTGCATGCCATCATCGTCATCATCATTTGTCACATGACAATGGGGAAAACACGACATATTATCAGAGCACAGTCACACAATTGTTATCGCTCCCGGGCCCAGCTCACTTTCTCCTTTCTTCTCTTCTCCCTTTTATGTTCTGTTTCTATTTTTTGCATTTACATATTTATACAAATCAGTTTGAGAATCAAAGAAAATCCTCGTAGTTATGATCTTCCACCACAAAATAGTCGGTATCTTTTGGTCGTTTCCATGTCAGTCGAGCCAGCGGATCAAATTCTAAATAAGTTTTTTTTAAAAGCTTTTCCCGACTTGATTTTACGTACCCTTTACATTCGGACCATGTCGTTTCTTCAATTCATCATCGGTCCTAGCGAAATACGTTTTGATATCACATCTCTGAGCGCTGGTAGCCAGACGATAGTCGTATTTCACAACGGTCATTTGCATTGTTGCCGAACAATATCCACAAGTGTTCCGACATTCTCGGAAAGACGACGGAAAAGCTCCGCAACCACCGAGAGTACTGTAGCTCGAGTCTTGCCAGTAACTTTCTCTGCATTATGGTTTTTGAAAGTTTCGAAAAAAAGAAAGCTTTCTTGAATTTCCCTACCTTTTTGCTATTTTCTGACACCAGTCACTTCCTCTTCTATCGAGACACGTGGCCTTCATAGGATCTTCCAGATGTCGGCGGACCACCAAATTGTACTTGCTAGCACTAAACGAATTTCTTCGGTCAAAACTGTAAAATGCATCGTTTTGAGGCAATCAAATGTTTTAATTGTACAAATACCAAGTTGAGCAGCACTGAATCAGTGCGAAATCCGGGTCATTAGCACATCTTTTCGCAAACCGAGATGGACTATTCAGTCTCATTCTGCTACACGTTAGTGTGGTGAGTCGGTCCACACAACACGGCGTCCGATTGTAAATGTCATGGGGCTGGTTGAAGTTGAAGTTTGGTGTGTTTCCTGTGTTACGATTTATGCTCTTTATGCTCAAAGGTCCAGCAGCGCGCCCGGCCACCAACACTTTTTTCTTTGCTCTCATTGAAAAATAATAATGAATGGCAGTGTGAATAAACGAGACTCACCGGCTTGCGCAACACCGGAAAATAGTGAGACGCTTATTGTTCCGACAATAAGAAATCGGACGGCAAGCATAGAGAAAAACTGCTGTTGTATGTATTATTTCCCATGCACCTGGGGCAAAACGGACAGAGTACGGTTGGATAAGTGAAAAAGTGCTAAGAAGCTGGACGGACAGGGGGTATGTTTGAAAAGGTGTGAACACCCGTTTTGGTAGGACGTACTGTTTGTGTTCTTGCACGGGGGGAGTATTACATGATGGTGGTGCGTAGGACAAATAAGAAATTTCCAATCTGACAGGATTGAGTTGCACTATGACCCGTACGCCTTGGATCCCAGTCCCGTGCGCTTTCAAGAAGGGTCATTGAGCCAAGTACGGAGAAAAAAAGCGAAAAAACAAACGAAGTGTTTGTTTTTTTCATCGTTTTTGGATGGTCTGTGGAAATAGAATCTTAGAGTATATAGACATAGATTTTTATTAATACTGATGGATGTAATACTTAGGTCATGACACATAACTCGGATCAAAACAGTGAGGAAATAAATTAGAAGAGAGAGGTAGTTGAAGTCAAATTTAGAAGAGTCGTTCGCAAGATTTCGGGTTTTTCGCCACCAACGAGTCATATCTGACGGTAGCCGTCTTGTTCACCCTGAAAATGTATCAACTCCTATGGGTATGACACTTTTCGAACACTTACGAAGTACAATATCCGCAAGTCTTTCTGCAAACTCTGAAAGCGAATGCCGAATGCTGGCAAGTCATAGATCGTCGTCCCCACATTCCTGTTCTGGTCACAAAAGCCTCGCAGAATTGAGTTCCATGACGGTCGAAACAGTTTTGGGGGTGATAACGGAGCAAAAGCTCGTCCACGTCGTGTTGGTACAAATCCGCCGGGACTGGGATTGCTGGAAAATTCAGTGATTTATTATATGAATAGTAGAAAAAGAAAGAGAACTTACTATCGCTTGTGAACATGTCAATGTTGAAGTGACACGAGTGACAGCACTGGATGAACGAAAAGTCCGGGTTAGTTCTACACTGTTTCGTGAATTTTTCATGGTCTCGGTTGTAAAGAGCCTTGCACACGTTCGGCATGAGGGTATCCAGACAGCACGGAGTTTTGGTGGCCTTGTACGCCACCATTTGCATTGTCATCTCAGTGGAGACTATCGCTGAAACTCTAACTGATATTGTATTTGAATCCGAAACGGAGATGTTGTCTACCTAAGATCGCAGCTAGGACTACTACAAACGGAGAGGCCATTGAAAAGAGAATTGGATACGTGAATCCACGGTCACTCGGCTCTTTTATACTTATGCCATTTGTCCGCCGGTCCGGTTTTTGCCATTCCGGGTGTCTCCGGGCCGCCTACTTCCACGGAAGTGCCCGCCTTGTCGTTATGAATTATGAACATCTTTGCGGCGAGGCGAGAAAGAAGAAGAAGAGGAAGAAATAAAAACAAACATAACCGTGTCTCAGGCGCAAGAGCAAGAGCATGAGCAAGAGCACAGAAGCCAAGAAAAGTTGCTTGTTTTCTTTCTCTCTCTCTCTCTTGCGGAAGTCGCGCCGCGTTTGCCCTTCAAACCTATACACTGTGCTGTTTGTCGCCCGCCTGTTTCTGGTGTGTTGCGGCTCTCTCGCAAACTTGACGGTTTAACGGGTCTCTTGTCGCCGCGACAAACGGATTGGAGAAGTTTTGACAAGGAATTACACACATACGTGGAGCGAGTGTCCGTTTACAAAGTGAAAAACACGGCAGGAAGTCAGTTGGGTGATTGAAATGAGGAAATGTGAGTGAACAGACGGTTATTTACTCTCTAACCTAAAATGGAGAGAAAAAAGTGGAAATGCAAACAGACAACATTTAGACAGAAATTGTTTTTTGTCATTAATACAGAAACCTGGCCCGGTTATTGAAAAACGTCACAGTTTATTAAAAACGGAACTGCCAACATTAGAACTATAAACGAAAACTATTATTATCTTCTCAAACGTTCCTTCTAGGCTCAAATTATGTCGTTCGACGTCCATTTCCTCGAGAATTTTTAAGTTCACGTTATACATCGTTTCTGCAACTTCTGCCGCAACATACAATATTTCTTATCAGCCCCAAAATCAAACCACTTTCCTTTCACTTTCACTCTTTCCATTCAATTTTCCCCCGAAACTCGATTCCCATTTTGTTCTGTGTGCCTGTCTAAATCTCGTGAGTTTTGTCAACTGATTTTTCATTTTGCATCGATGCGTTCCTCCTCGTGACATGTGGCATGTGGCTCGCACTCTCGTTCTGCTTTTCCTCTCGCTTTCTGTTTAAATTTATTCGCATTCTATTTTTAGTGTTGTGCTGGCAGAATAGTTGATGCCGGTGAGTCGTTTTCCAGCAACAAACAAAAACAATTTTCAGATGGAAAATGTGCCTGGGCCAAGAAAAAGGAATAGAAAACAACTTTCGTATGATGACGTCATAGAACAACTCTCAAAACTCGATTTCTCCAACAACAAAAAGGTTATTGATGATTTGAATCAGACGTTGAATGGCGGAATACTGGTCCCAACACTTGTTCACCAAATTCTCTATCATTTTGAAGACTTTGAATCACAAAAATTGTACATCACACACTTACGAGAAGCACTTGAGTTGTCATGGAATGCACCCGTTCAACACGACGATTTGGACTACATGTAAGTGAAATTGTGAACTGATTTCTGTTAAGAATTCTTTAATTTCAGAACTTCCGTGACTGGCAAGCAAGGCTACTCAATCAACGCAGTGTTCCAGTTCAAAACATCTCACGAATTAGACAAATCTCAAAAAATCAGCATTTCTGTTGGTGATTTACGAGTTACCATCGAGTTCTCAAACAGTGATAGTGAGACGGATCTCAAATGCTTCTTTGTATCAAACAACGGGTCAGTTTAATTCGAAAATGTATATTTTTTGTTTTCCTACGGCCTCGCATGGGACGCGTCTGCGGCGCTTGGACGCGTCTGCGGCGCTTGCACGCGTCTGCGGCGCTTGGACGCGTCTGCGGCGCTTGGACGCGTCTGCGGCGCTGGGACGCGTCTGCGGCGCTGGGACGCGTGTGCGGCGCTTGGACGCGTCTGCGGCGCTGGGACGCGTCTGCGGCGCACGCGGTGCGGGCTCGGTTTTGTCCGATTCGTCTTTCTTTCTGCTGCCCTCAGCGGACCGACAGACGCTTCTTGTGTGTTATATATAAGAAAGACTGATAATGTGTTTTAGGAAGCAATTTATGGAACTGATTCCTTGTGCACACAAAGTTCATCAACTGATGGTTCAGATATCAAGCCCTGAGACCAAAGTTGTTTTATTGGTTTGTTCTATAAACATTATCAATTTTATATTTAGAATTTCAGATTGATGACAAAATTCATGTATTCGAGCCAAACTATGAGAAAGAAGTGGACGAATTGAAAATATCCGTGTGCTCTCTACATCATACAATTCCGGTTGTTTTTCAAGGTAATTCACTAAAGATCCTCCCCGGAACATTATCTATTTTAGGTGATTTCCAATCCCTCTATGATGTAGTGGAAATGGGAGTCACTCCGAAAAACATCGAATACGCGCGGAAGTTTACACTTGAAAGTAAAGGAAGAAAGTTGTGTATCGGGCAAATGTTCCATCCGGTGATTCCAATCAGACAAAACCAAGTGATAATGCCACGGAAGGAATATCCGGGGTTTGAAAACACTGCAGAACAACTGAGAGCCGCGGGAGGATTTGGATTTATTTGTCACGCGTTTTTCAAGGTGAGAGTACATAAAAGGGCAGACTTGCAAAATTTTAGCATGGTCCGGCGTTAATTTCAAAAATTTTCAAGTTTTTGTGAAACGGCACTAATGAGTGCTCTGTTAGAAGTTGAGCAAGAATTCAAGTTTCTCATGAAATGTTTCATTTCAGCCGAGCTTTTGCAAATCTGTAGAAGAGTCAGTTGAACATTTTCAAACTTTTTAGGTGTTACTGAGGAGTTCGCCGGATAATGAAGAGTTACTGGTCCATCTATGGAAACTTTGGGAACTCTACCTCAACACCCCACACCCTTCTGCCGAGCATTTATCGCGTTTGGATGCAATACAAATGATTTCATTAGCGTTCAGAATTCCAAGAAAGCTTCCAGAAGTTATTGTAGAGGTAATGCAAGTATATAAGAGCCCCCTAATATACATAGTTTCAGGACGTAATTGATATGTGTATAAACTTGAACGGTGCTATCAAAGAAGTGATACTTCTTAGAGAGTTACTCTCAGAAAACAATTACTGGCAACACGACCTGCCCATGTGCTACAGACTACTTGTTCGATTCAAATCGGCGGATGCACTACCTCATCTGGAAAAGTTACTTCCCTTGATTCTTCAGGTATTATCATATCCATTAACCATTCAATTCTTCAAACCCTTTCCAGATTGTGGCAGAAATAATCAAAAAAGACAGAGGATCTGATGATGTCCGAGATATTGTCACAATCACTATTGAGATTTTCAAGAAATGGTGTCGGGATCAACATCCTGTACGCACTTCTCAACTGGTCACTTTTATGATGGAGTTGTATGATTTCGAAAAGATCAGCGCGAGAATGGAAAAATTCCTCTGGCTTGATGAAAATGGTAAGAATTGATTACATTCTTAGTATGAATTCCAAATGTTCTGTTGTTTTTAGCACTGGAAAGAGAAATGTGCCGTCAGCCACACCTCATTTTGACTGAAGAAGAGCCCGAGCACACCACACCACGAAATGTGAGCAGACTTTTGCTACAATTGGATCTTCCGTTGGGAAATGAAGACGATGACGAACTTTTTCACTTTTTGGAGCCTGGCGATGAGTGTCTCACTACCAAAGATTTTAAAGCGATGACACAGAACAGAGATTTCATGATGAAAAGTGAGAAATTAACTGTATTGCGTATTTCGATTTCACTCTTTTATAACACAGGCCTTCTACAAATTCTTCATCAGTCATACGTTTTGTGCCCAGATAATCAATATGCTTGTTTTGACTCTATCACGGCTGAGGTACGTAAACGTTTACAGATTGACTCTGTGACATTGAATGTTTTAGAAAATTTGTTATCTAATCGAAGTAAACAGTGATGAGAAAGTAATTGGAGCTCTGATCGAGATGTATGAAGCGATCATTGTGGGTTTTACAATATTGCTAGAACAGTTCTACATTAGGACATTTCAGAATCACAACGTTTACTCAGAGAAAATCACAAAAATCTATCAGCTGAACCTAATGCTGATCCTTGCTCGCCAACTCAAAAACAAACCGCTGACAACTCAAACCATAAATGCTCTTTTCTCAATTTTGCTCCGCGAGCAAGTAGACGTCTCCGCCGGATTGGACACGTCGCATTTGGAAGCATTCGTGCCCAATGCAATCTCATGTCAATCCGTTTATCCGTTGCTGACAGTACTTGAAGAGTCCGTGGATGATGTCGAGATAACTGTCTTCACAGTTGTATGTACTTCATTGAACAAAGTGGGTTTTGACGTGAAAAGGAAGAAAGTACCGGAATTGTTTCAGGTGTACACTAATAACAACCAGCTTACTCAAGCATTGACGATGGCTGGAGTGGACGAGCATATGACTGGGATACTGTTGAGACTTGCAAAGATGGGTCACTTTCGGTCAGTTAATTTTTTGAATGCTTCACACTAATTTCCATACAAATTCAAAATTTTCATGGGCATTCGCAAAAATGAGAAAATTTGAACTAAAACTTCTTTTTTCACGATCTAATTGTCCTGAACTCACCTTTTGAAGCGTTTTGCTTACCCATCTTTTGATCATATTTGTGATTTTATGACCCAGCCCAGACCTTGCCTGAAGGCCGTAAATTTTTGCATGGCCCGTGACTATTCGGGCCGGGCTCGCAAAACTTAAAATAAATCAATAAATTTCAGACTACGAAACGAAAAACTGAAAGCTCTACTTGATACCTGGTTCGCATTCGCCGTGAGCATTATCAGAGTCGGCGTGAACGGACGGAAATCGGTTTTTGAAGGAGCATCCCGGCTCATTTCTCATATTCTTCTACTGTATACTCAAGAAAACGGGAAGCTTCTGAACGACGATAATGAAGCACAACGGCTGATCAGAGACAATATCTACTGGACTTTATGTGTTCTGTTACTTCAATTATTTAAGTTCCTGCTCGACATAGTTTTGGCGGATTCGAACAAACATCGAAGTGCGAGTAATTCGTCGATTAACATGATGGTCTATGACGAGGAACCTGAGGAGATTGATGCGGCGCCAGTGAAACCGACCAAGTTCTGGGATGAAATCGCTCAGAAAGTGAAGGAAAGCGTACTCGGACCGAACTACAATCTGCTGAAGTGTCCCTACCGGAAACATAAAGACTCGCCGTTGACAGCTGATGAGATCCGACATCGAATCAGAGATGTGCTCACTTTATGCCAGTACTTTTTCAAAATAACCACTCCGGATGATTCTGACGAGGAGGACAATTTGTACCGTATCTTCTTTGAAGAACTGTCAAGATGGACACTAGAAGATGTAATTTTAACAAAGCGTGTTTTTGAAAACAAAAAATGTTTCCAGGCTTGGCCGAACTGCATTTGGATTGCCACTGATATGATGTTTGTGACAAACGTCTTCTCAAATTGTGTTGCTTTCGTGCTCACTGACATCCATCGCTATATGAATCCATTTAGTGAGTCACTAAGACGCTCCCTACATAAATTAAAATTTAAATTTAGGAAAAGTGTTCAATAGTCAAAAGTCTGGAAGATTGGAGATCCTCCTACAGCGGATAGTAAGAAGTTATCAGAAGATTTCAACAGTTTTTGGAAACGTTATGGTAATCAATCTGATTTTCCAAATCTAAAATCATCTAAATATTTGTTAGGACATTGACCAGATGATTAGGTTGACCATGGAGAACATAACACAGAGGGAAGATCAAAACTCGAATCTTTTCAAGCTAGCGGTCATATTTCTGAACAGTCCGAGCCGAGATCGCAGCAGAGGTATCAAACATTACACAATTATTTGTTCAGCCTAACAATTCTAGGTCCAATGGATTATCCACAGCCCCGAACTCCGGATCTCATTCAAAGACTGTTGGTTGAAAGTGAAATCGCGTCCAGATACTGGTTGGATCAGCGAAACGAAGTGATTTCCAAGATCAATTTGAAGGGGAAACTGCCGCAACCGCACATTGATGTTGTTGAGCTCAACTACAAACTTGAAGAACTTCAGAGAACTCTGACAGCACCCAAAAACCTGAAAAGAGTTTATGAAGTGTGTGAACTTGTGGGAAAGTTGGAGCTGAATGAAGTGAGCGCTCTCATTTCACTTTTTTCTTGGTTCCAATATAAATTAAATTCAGCGGAGAATGTCTCGATTGATACTTGTTAAACACAACTACAAACCCCGAAGAATCTCAACGGTTCTCGGCCCGAAAGGTGAAAGAATGGTCACAGAAATGACAGAGATCAAAACCGAGGGAATGTTTGCAAACCAGGGAGAGTTCAAAAAGATCAGCATTTTTCGGGACGTTTTCGACGGGATTTCGCTGTCCAGATTCCGGAAACGAGATGCCTACCTGATGCAGTCACTTCACGGGGTTCTTATCGCTAATGGAGTACAGACGAACCCGATATTCTACATCCACCACTTGGGCATCACCACTCTTCCCTGTGGCTCACACGTCGTCGAGAAGACTTATTGGTTCGAAGACATAACGTTTATCTTTCGAAGGCCTATGCGTCCCTGGGATGTGCTGGAAGTTTCGTTTGAGATTCTCTTGAAAACTCATGAAACGATTATGGTATTTGCGCAGCAGGTTAGTTTGCGGAACACTAATGAGTCAAAACTGTCTATTGAATTTTCAGAGATTCGCAAAACTTCTCACTCACTATGCAGGCAAGCTCATCGCCAAAGATGCTCATCTGGTTGCGGTCACCAAGCAATGGGAGGAAGGAAAAACGTCAAACTTTGACTACCTAATGATGCTGAACATGTTCGCTGGAAGGACGATCCACGACAGCAGTGCTTATCCGATCTTCCCGAGAATCGTGGCAAAGTTTGAGAATGAGAAGATTGATTTGCAAGACAAACGATTATACAGGTACGTAATTCTATAGTCCATTTATACAAGAATTTTTCAGAAAACTTGATTATCCAGTTGCTGCTCAAGATGTATTGATGATTGAGAAACATCGAGAGCATTATAATGAACTGAAGGTACATTTTTTCTTGTTCGGAAAATGAGTAATAGTAATAAATGTCGATTTTTAAGGAAAATGAAGGAGTAAGCCACTTGACACCCTATCATTTCGGTTCAATGTGCTCAAACCGAGGTGTTGTTTCTTTTTTCAACATCCGTCTTTTGCCTTTCGGAGAGGAGGCCATTGAACTGCAGGATGGGAGGTTCGACTTCCCGGACCGCCTTTTCTACAGCATCGAATCGGGTCTGGGTCTAGGAAAAGTCGAGTCCAGCAATGATTACAAAGAGTTGGTCCCCGAGCTGTTCACCACGGTTGAAGTTCTGAAAAATGAGAACGGAAATCAGTTTGGAGAGAGACAGAACGGGGAAGCTGTGAGTGACGTAGAAGTGCCCAAATGGTGTTATGTGGATGGGAAACCAGTTCACGAGCATTTCATTTATGTGCACAGACAAGCTCTTGGTGGGTTACACGGTCCGATTCATATTTCACAATCTCATTTTTTCTGCAGAATCTGAACATGTACAATCAATGTTGCATAACTGGATTGACTTGGTCTTTGGGTACAAAGCACGCGGAAAATCGGCACATGACGCGGTGAACGTTTATCATCCAGCAGTGAGTTATAAAACTATGTAGAATAACATTCAAATAGTCATTTAAGGTATATCCGGGAAGCTCACCACCTCCCTCTTTCGATCGTGTCATGATAAACGCGTACGAAGCGAACCAAAAGACGCTTGGCACAGCGCCAACTCAACTTTTCACTCAACCACATCCAAAAAGAGAAGTTGTCCAGCATCGGATTGGCTCGATTCGCAACATTCATCACTTGGCGTGAGAATTGAATTTCGATGTGAAGTTAACCACATTTGTTGTTTTAGATTTGGAAAAGAGCTAACTATTGGAGAATATGAAGTGACTGAGTGCGGAGATGAAAGACAAACCTCTCAAAGAGTTTGGAAGAGGGTCAAATCGTTAAAGTCACGAATATTTGACCGAAGCGATCGTGGAGAATCCGAATGCATTCAACTGTTTAGGAAGCTGAAAGAAAGTGAGTCTAAAATATCAGATAATCATACCCGGAAAACTTTTCAGAAAAAGACAAGGACCTTGCGGATGTGACTGTTAAAGCAAAGGAAAACACTTTGATTTTGTCCGATGGCACGTCGGAATATAAAAAGGAGCACACGAAGAAAGTGATGGAAGTGAGTGCGGACGATCAGTTTGTTGCTTGCCTTATCCACCAAGGACCCATCGAACTATACAAAATGTTCTACAAGTCAAGAGGAAAGTTATCGAAAGTTGACAAAGCGATGAGAGGCGAATCTCAACTTCTGACAGCCGATTATTATGGCACCATACCAATTCAAAATGGCCATTTCCTTTCCGTCGATCTCTGTGCCTCATTCGCGACTATTTTCACAGTGCATCAAGTGGAAAACAAGTCAGTTGTATCTGTGTGGAACCTTCATTCTCAACACATTCGAGCTCAATCTGATGTCAATGGTATAATGGAGTCGTGTGGAGTTTTGAAGAATCTTGGAGAGCTCATACTTGTGGAGAAGTGGAATGGAGGGCAAGTTAAGTACGAGAAACATTGGCGAGTTTATGAGAGGAAAATGTGCAGCGAAGTGGCGAAGAAGAAGAAATATATCGGAAAACTGCCATTTGAACATACCGAACAGATTCTGGCGAAGATTAGTGTAAGTTTTATACGCAAAAACGGCACAATGTTGTTAGAAAAATTGTCTTCGAAAACGTTTCCTTGTAGTTTTAACGCTGAAACCCAATTCGGTCCGCAAGTCATTTTTATTGAAATTTGTTGCAGGTTAACGCTAAGATCCAGCTCACCAAGTACGTTTCTGATAACAAATTCATTCACGACGGAGTTCTTTCAATGGCACCCGAACCCGGATTGGGCATTCAGACTTTGGCGATGATCCGAAGTGACCACTCGATTGCGCTGTTCGAAACCATGACTTTGACTTTGATGCGGGTTCTTGAGGTTGAGAACAGACAACAGTTCTGCCTCAGAGAGTAAGTGAATTTGTGAATAACCACAATAACCATTGTCTTTCCAGATTACGTTACCAGGATGACAATACGCTAATCGCTGTCTTCAAAGAGTCGCGGACTTTGCGGAAGAAGAATAAGGATCTCTACAAGAATCTGGGATCTACGCCACCTATTAGGACGTGGCGTTTCCGTCCGAAATTATAGTATTCAGATTGATTTAACGGGATCCTCTTACATGTTATCAGAGCTTTAAAACCTTTAAAAGTTGTCGAGTGTGTAATAATTTATAAAACTTTTCATGCGTATAATTCTGTTACGAAAAAATGAACTTTCTAATTTTAACATCAAGCTCTGGTTTTGCAAACCGGAAAATCCCGGCTCATTTAAAGAAACCGATCTTAAAAAACACTGGTAAGCCCGTGAAAATGCGGGTTTTTTCCGGTTTTTCACCGAAAGAATTCAAATAAATGACAGTTCCACTTTATTCTCAAACACGATGAGATCGCTGACGTCGAAAAAATGGACACTGGAAGCAAATACAAACAATACGGATGTGTCGGCTACTCAAAATAACGCGTTGTCTCTCATGTGATTTGAAACGGAATAGAAAAGTTATTTCAAACAAACGAAGGCTAGCAGGGTACGGAGAGTGTTCGGAGGGTAAAAAAGGGAGACCAGTTGCATTTCGCCAGGCTCGATGACACAAAAATTAGGCTTCGATGTTATTTTATGAAGTTCAAGCAGATGACGAGGAATTATTTAGGAACATTCAAATTTTTTCAAGGTCATTTGTGTGTTTTTTTTTGAAAAACGGAGAAAACGGCAGCAGCGCGACAAGCAACCTCTTTTTGGAGAGCCGGGAACTCGAAACGGAAGCCTCATTCTATGGAGTTAACGAGTCTACGTATGTAAATGATTTCCGAAAACCATAGTCTCTTTTTTGAGTGATAAACCAGGAAAAACTTTTCCTTAGAGCGTAGAAAACTAAATCAGTAAAAGTTGAAATTTACTTCACGATACAACACCATTACCGAAGGAGACCTACTTACTTATCTACTTACTTTTACTTTTATCTAGGTCATGACCTACTTTTAATTTGAGTCATGACCTACTTTTAATTTGGGTCATGACCTACTTTTATCTAGGTCATGACCTACTTTTATGTAGGTCGCGACCTACTTTTAATTTGGGTCATGACCTACTTTTAATTTGGTTCATGACCTACTTTTAATTTGGGTCATGACCTACTTTTAATTTGGGTCATTACCTACTTTTATCTAGGTCGTGACCTACTTTTAATTTAAGTCATGACCTACTTTTATCTAGGTCATGACCTACTTTTAATTTGGGTCATGACCTACTTTTAATTTGGGTCATGACCTACTTTTATCTAGGTCATGACCTACTTTTATCTAGGTCATTACCTACTTTTATCTAGATCATGACCTACTTTTATCTAGGTCATGACCTACTTTTATCTAGGTCATTACCTACTTTTATCTAGATCATGACCTACTTTTATCTAGGTCATGACCTACTTTTAATTTGGGTCATGACCTACTTTTAATTTGGGTCATGACCTACTTTTAATTTGGGTCATGACCTACTTTTATGAAGATGGGGGCTCCTCCCCTTTTGGCTCTTCCCCCCCTGGCTCCTTCCCTTCTTGGCTCCTCCCCCTCGTGACATTGCCCCGGTCACCCCCCCCGCCCACTCCATGGCGAATTTCAAAAATTTCTCTTCATTCCCCATTCTATTCCTACTACTGGTTGGTCGTTCTCTCCAAGCTTCCGTCGATGACTATGAAGAACACTTCCATCAAAGGATACAACTTGATTCGCGAACTCGGAGCCGGCTCCTACGGAGAAGTGTACTTGGTGAGCAATTCTAAAAATGAGACAGTCGTTCTGAAAACACTGGACGAGGATGATGAGACTGCTGAAAACGAGCGCGAAGCGCTGATTGAGCTCAACGGCATCAACGGAATCCCACCGCTTCTCGACTACTTTCACACGAGAAAACACAAGTGCTTCATTCTCCCACTTGGCGGCACCGATTTGAACGCTTTACGCGCTAAAATTCCGGGAAGAGCATTTCCGGTGTCGATGGTCCACAAGACGCTCTTCCACTTGGTCAAGATTCTTCAAGACATGAACGCACGTGGATGGTTACATGGAGACATTAAAGCTGACAACCTCGTTCTGCACCGAGAGGTAATGAAAAACAAATCAAGCAATTACATAACAATTTGTAACTGTTTCAGACGCTCCAGCTGACACTGATCGATTTCGGATTTGGTTTCCGTTTCCGGGACAAAAATGGGAATCGCGTTGCTTGGAGAAGTCCGATTGCCGATGCGATTCACTCGTCGCCCTTTGCCGATGTCTACAAGAAGGTCACCCCTCTGGACGATCTCATGCAGGCTATCTTTCTCGGACTGCAGCTCCGTTGTCTCGCCAAGTTGATCTACGATCAGGACTTTTCGAAGGCGAGCGCCAAGAAGCACAAGTTCATTGCCCAGCCGAGAATGTACCTGCCGGCATCCGAACTGCCGATCGTCTTCATCTACGAGAAAATCTTGGTCCACAAGTTCGAACAGGAGCCTGACTTTGATGGAGTCCGCACTGCGATCGAAGACGAGAGACGTCGTGCCGTCGGAAAGCGTCGCCCCGGATTCGCCTACGATGCTGTCGCCGACCTATTGAACTTTGACTGAATTATGTATTTGAATAAAGTCCGATATTAATGAATCAAAAATACTTTAAAAGTAGTAGTCAAAAATGAAAATATTCATGCATCACTGATCCAGAAAATTATCATCATTATAAAATTTGCAGTCGTCAACAGCTCCAGAAAGACAGCGCAAATCGTCTCAAGTGGATCTCCAAGAATATACTCCAGTTTTTGGCTGAAAAATCTTCTTGCGCAGTACTTGGAATACAGACACACCTCAACTTGTGTTTCTTCAATTTCAGTCTTGGCAACGCCCACTTTCTCAGCTCTCCAATAGCAACAGTAATTCCAACAGCAACGATCATGATAAAAAGATTGATTATTATGTAGATACCGAGCAGGGGGATACTTCCAGTTTTTGGAATTTTATCTGACATCACTCCGAGGATGAAAGTCATTGTCATGATATTAGTGAGCCCAACGTTCAACTAAAAATTACCACAAATGTGCTTTAAGTGTAAATTAAAAAATCTTACTTTTGACATTTTATCAGTGTTCTTCATGAAAACTCCGATTATAGAGAGAGCGTTGATGATGAAAGATGGAAAAACTATCATATAGATGTAGTACATCGGATTCCTTTGTATTTTAAACTCGAATGTTGCCTGGAATCTTGTTTTAAAGTAGAATTGCTCAATGGATGAAAGTTACCAATTCCATATCTCCGAACATGTCGTTGTAAGTCAATAAATCTATCCGATTTGTCAAATTGACCAGATCCCATTCAGAATTGCCCTGGAGAGCGGAACAGTAATAATGTTTCTGTGCATCTGGGGAGACCTACCATCGTTTCCCAAACTGTTGTATTCAGAATTCCTTGATAAATCTCATTGAACATTTTTACCTGTTGCATATAGAAAATTGGCATATTGAATTGAACTGAACAAATCTGCGAATCGAACGGGAATCGGTTCACATTCATGGGACAGTTGACGGACACTCGAAGGGTGAGAGAAGTGTACACGTGGCCCACGTTGGTGACGCATACCAAACGGAAATCCTGATCCCGAAGGTCCATCATGTCGTTTCTGAAAATTAATCGTTAGCATCTTATGGAAGAAACTACTAACATTTTGAATAAACTCAAAGTCGGACTCCAAACTCGTTCCTGTCTCATGTGCAGCATGTCAATGTCACCGTATTTGGTTGAATCCCATGCGAGACGAGGATCGTACCAGTACTGAAACATTATGTCAATGAAAAAGTGAGTTCAGTCTCATTTTGGAACTCTCATACTTGCATCCAACGGGCCGGGATGAGATGATCCCGAAAAAAAAAGAAATTCGAGCTGAAACTTCATTTTTCTGGTTTCACCTTTCCTAAACTCTGTTTTTGAGCAGCACCCGGGCTAATTAGCAAGCAAGCGGTACCAGTTTGAAATGGCTTTTTTATCAAAATTTAAAACAAAGGCCTGAGAATCGAAAAAGTGCAAAATAGAACTTTCATAGATCCCTTGTTAACTTCTCATTCACCTCCGCCATTTCCAGTACCACTGAAACTTTCTCCTCGGGCTCGAGGTTCCACAATCTTCATATAATACAAGAAAATGGTGTAGTTCCACTGTTTAGGGGCAAGTGGGTTATAACCAACGGGCATCGAAACATTGACTGAAAGGTACTGGTGGTTCAGAAAAGATCAAGAATCTCACTCTTTGTGTAAATCGGAGAAATAGTCCCATCATAATCTTGAAAGAGGTCAGATATCAGTCTCGATTGATGTTCCAAGAAGTTATTCCACTCAGGTACTAAACTCACGTGGATTTAGTGCAATTTTAAAGGTTTTTCTCACCATACAGTGTCGCGTTCTCATAAAATGGCAGCGTATAATGGAAAATGTTTAAAAAAGTGAAAAGCAAAAGTTTCATGACTTTTTTTTCAGTTAATGGCACATGAAATGGCGGCGCTCGATGACATTCGAAACTTTGAATTCGCACGAAGGCAGCTGTCCAGCCTAAATACTTTGTTTCCAAACAGATGGAAAAAAAAAAGTTGTAAAAGTGTTTAGATTTGGGAAGGAAAATAAGTCTATCCAAAATCTACGTACTTGAGCTCAGGGCTCCTCTTTAACAAGAACAAACATGTTTTATTCGGAAAATTGAAAACAAAAGAAGAGCATTTCCAATGAGAGCGTGTGTTTTTTTTGTGGCTATATCCAGATTTTTTTGGAAGTGTCAAATTTCTGGACTTTCAGCAATAACAAACAGAAATCATGCCAGAATTTCAATTAGGAATCAGTTATCCAAAAAACAATCATCATAATGAAATTCGCAGTTGTCAGAAAACCAAACACGATTGTGCAAATTGTTTCGAGTGGATCTCCGAGGATATACTCCAAGTGACGACTGCAAAAAAAGAATTTACAATTGCAACCCATTGTGAGCTTACTGTATTTTGTACTTTCTAGTGTTCAATTTTGGAATGGACCACTTCCGCAGCTCGCCAATAGCTACAGTGAGTCCAACCGCAAAGATCATGATGAACAGATTGATAATAATGTAAATTCCTAACAACGGAATACTTCCACTTTTTGGTATCTTGTCTGCCATGACTCCAAGAATAAAAGTCATTGTCATGATGTTGGTGAGGCCCACGTTTAACTGAAAACATTTCGGATTTCAATCAAGCCCAACATTTATCAAACTGACTTTTGACATTCTATCGCTATTCCTCATGAACACTCCGATTAGAGAAAGCGCGTTAATAATGAATGACGGAAACACAATCATATACATGTAGTACATCGGGTTTCTTTGTATTTTGAACTCGAAAATAGCCTGAAACCGGAGATGTTTGTTTGTCAAAAAAGAAGCACAAACCTTTTGCATACATCCAGCGCTGTCGTCGCCGTAGCTCAACATTTCAACCCGATTTGACAGATTCACAAGGTCCCACTCGGAATTACCCTGACATGAGAAAACTATAATAAAACTGCAAACTTGATCGGTTTTACCATTTCTTCCCATACTGTTTTATTGAGTATTCCTGGATAAATAGTGTTGTACATTTCAACATAGGGATTTCGGAATATTGGCAAGTTGAATTGAACGGAGCACGTCTGAGAGTCGAAAGGGAATCGGCTCACACGCATCGGACAGTTCACAGCGACTCGTGTGGTAAGGGATGTAAACAGCTGACCGGTGCTGTACAGACCGACAAGACGGAAATCCTGATCACGCAAGTCGATGATATCGTTTCTAAGGGTCATGTTTGAGGGAAGCGTGTTTTGCTCGATCCTATCTGGAAAAAGGAAAGAGCAAAACACGCTCCAGACGTGGAACGGACTGCTAACAAGACTGATTTTAAAAAAATTTACTCGAGGCTCTGATCGCAAGTACATAAATGGCCCTTCCTTTTTATAAACTCCCAAGCAATTGGTGGCTTGCCCGGTGAAGAACTCACATGCCGAACACGTTCAGAGTCGGACTCCAAACTTTCTCCTGCCGCATGTGCATCAATTCAATGTTGCCGTATTTTGACGGGTCCCAAGCTAGACGCGGGTCAAACCAGTACTGGAAGCAACACAAATAAAAAAAAAAGAACGGAAAATTGTACACCTCGGCCAGTTCCAAGACAATTGAAACCTTTTCCTCGGGTTCCGCAACTTCTACCAACTTCATGTAATACAAAAATATTGTGTAGTTCCATCGTTTGGGAGCAAGATGGTCATATCCAATAGGAAGTGATAGGTTATCTAGAATTAGTTGTTTTGTGATAATCAAAGTGATTCCTACATTTAGTATAAACAGGAGCAACTTTCTCATCATATCCTTTGAACAAATCTTCTAGCAACTTTGTCTGATGATCCAGAAAATCCACCCATTCGGGAACTGAAAAAGGGAACGTTCCGTTTTTCAGTTCTATTTACTCACCATACAGAGTATTATTTTCGAAGAAGCATAGAGTTGGTAAGAATATTTGGGAAACAACAAACACAAACAAATTTAACATTTTTTTAGTCCAGAGTAACATCAGAATTCAAAACTTGGACTAGAGCCATTGGTTATTCGAAACTTTTGAATACATGACTTTGACCTGACGCTGAACTAGAGTGTTTAAAAAAATTGTTTTTTTTTGGCTGTTTGAAGGTGTCGGTGTCATTTCACTTCCAGCAAGTGTCAGATTTCAATCAAAGTGATACATACACTTCTTATACACTTCTTTCATTGCAATAACGACAGAGAGAGAGAGAGAGAGACTGTTTGGGAATGACAATACAGGGTGGTCCACCGTTACCCGTACAAAATAAAAGTTGGGTAATTCCAAAACTAGAAGTCAGAAAGGCATGAGACTTAACAAAACGTTTACTAAGATGTTTTAAAATATTTATAAGCTAAGAGTGTTGCACCCGACCTCCTTTCCTAACAATGACAGCCCGAAGACTTCCGAAGTAACAGTTTGCCGCGGCACGCGAGAAGTCCGTGGACAGATTGAGCCCCTACCTGGCAAGGAATTTTTTTATCACTCCCCTACTTGTCTGGGGTTTAGCCTTTATATTGGCCTGTAAGACCCCAACAACGAATAGTCCAACAAAAAATGGTCCGGCGAGAAATCGGACCATTTTTCCTTCTTGATGAACGCTGCCAAATTGGCCTGGAACCACTGCTGAATGATTTTGGCAGTGTGAGCAGGCGTATTATCCTCCTAGAACACCCAATGTTGCTCTCCGAAGTGTTTGTGAGACCGAAGAACTAGTTTCTTTGTTGAAGCCTCATCTACATAACGTACTTTTCTGATTTTGTCACCATTATCGATGAAAACGCGTTGAGATTGGCATGTTCAGCTGATGGGACAAGAAATCATGGCACGGTCCAGATTATGGCCCTACCGTTTTCATACGCGTCCAGTGACGTCCCAGCAAGCCTCTGACTATTTTGAGAATTCAAATTGGCCTTCGCCGGGAACAGTCACTCGTCTGAAAAGGCCATCTTCAAATGGTCGCCATCGCGCGTGCCACTCAACTGGAGTTTCGACATTTGAATCCGTTTCAACTTTTTGGCAGTTGAGATGATAACGGCTTCTGTTCACATATTTCGGTATCAAACTGAGCTTGCATTTTAGAGTGATTTACATTGATATCGGACTCATTTCCATATCATGTGCTATCATTCTCGTGCTTGGATACGGATTTCTCATGATCCGCTCTCTGGTAGCTGTGACCGTCTGAGGAGAGATCATGGTGATTCCTTTTTTGTTTCTGGTATTGCTCTAGAGTGGGCTTAGACCGGAGAAAAGTTAGATTGTATCATAAACGGTTTTGCTTGGGATACCGAGCCGTTTCATGATCGTTTGTCTGCTCACCCCTCCAGTGAACAAGCGTATGATGGGGACGGGGTGCAGTCTAATCGGTGCTATTCGGCTGAAACAAATCCGTTTGGTCTGAGACTTGGCCGAATAGTTAAAAACATGATAATATACAAAATTTTGAATTAGGGCCACACCAGAATTGCGTCAGTACCTACGCGCGCCGCGTAAAACTTTTGTACGGGTAACGGTGGACCACCCTGTATATTCAATTTTAAGGGTGACCCTATACTTATGAAACGCACTGTAGAAGACTGTTTTTAGTTTTTCCTTCATTCATTTATCAGAGTTTGTTTGTGTCCGACACAGAACATTTATTCGTCATCAATCCAAAAACCGATCATTGTGAGGAAATTGACGCTAGTCATGAGTTCTAACAGAATTGCGCAGGTGTATTCGAGCGGAGGACCGAGGAATGTTTCCAGATGCCGGCTGAAATGATTTTTAGCCTGTGTAACCCGTGAAAAAGATCAAACCTGAATTGAGACTTTTTGAGTTTCAAACGAGGAGTCGCCCACCTACGCAGTTCCGTGATGAAAGTGACGATCGCAATAGCAATAAGCATGATTACCAGGTTTGCAATGATGTAGATTCCAAGCAATGGAATGCTCCCAGTTCTTGGTATCTTGTCAGCCATTACTCCGAGGATAAAAGTCATGGTCATGATGTTAGTAAGACCGACGTTCAGCTGAAATGTTAGAAAAACGACCCACATTTCCTTTTTCGCTGCATGTTCATACTCTGGACATTTTATCGGCGCCTTTAATGAATACTCCAACAATTGACACAAAGTTGATTATAAAAGAAGGGAAGACGATCATGTAGATGTAATAGAGTGGATTTCGTCTGATTTTGATCTCGAATATGGCCTGAAAACCTTAAAGTTTTTGGTTCAAAACATACAGTGACAATACCAAATCCATATTTCCGAAATCATCATTATACTTCAATGTTTCCACCCGATTTGTGAGATTTATCAAGTTCCACTCAGAATTTCCCTGAAAACATTGGAAATTGGGAAGCAAATACTTGAAACGCTTAACCTACCATGGAAGGAAACTGAGTTTTCGCGTCCAAAATGCCTATATATATTTCATTGAAAATCTCAACTTCTACTCTACTGAATATTGGGAGCGTGAAACGGATTTGACAAACTTGTGAGTCGAAGGGAAATCTGGAGACATCCATCGGACAATTAGCAGAAACACGTACTGATAAGTAATCATAAATTAGACCGAGGTTGCCGGCGCAAACGAAACGGAAGTCTTGGTCCCGGAAATCCACAATATCATTTCTGAAATATTGTTTATTTTCGGACAAAACGTTTTCTAGAACGTACACTCCAAACGCTGACAAAGTTGGACTCCACACTCGGTCTTGTCTGACATAGAATGCACTGATATTGTGGTACAAAGAGGCATTCCAAGAAAGACGTGCGTCATACCAGTACTAAATATGTTATTTGCGTTCTACATTCATCTTTAAATGCACCTCCATCAACTCCAAAACCACTCCAACTTTTTCTTCCGGCTCTTGCACTTCAACCAATTTTAGGTAGTATAGAAAAAGTGTGTAGTTCCACCGGTTCGGAGCTTCCGGGTCCCACCCGAGAGGCTTTTTTGAATCTACTGAAAGTGTCATGCAATTATTTTTTACAGCTATTTAGTTAGTTCCTGACCCCAAGTGTAAATTGGTGAGATTGTTGGATCATAATTCACAAAAAGATCATTTGTCAGATTGGTCTGAGCTTCCAAATACTCTCGATACTTTGGCACTATAATCAGATCAGATTAATAATGAATGTTTTCATGTAGACACAGAAACCAACCGTAAAGAGTAGGATTATAATAAAACCCTGTAACTGGCACCAATAGGAAAAGGGCGACAACGAAAAGGAGAAACATTTGTGAGAGAGAAACTAAACCAAATCAAACATGACACGTGCAGAGTCAAAAATGGCAGGTGTAACTTGAGACAAAACTAAAAAGGTGTTTCGCTCTGATGAACTCATAACGCCCCCAGAAATCAACTTCCGGGGGAAGGGGAACATTTTGAGGGAAGCAAATACTACAAAGCAACAGAACACAATAATGTTGTGAATAGAGAAGATGGATGATTCATGCGAAAGAACAAAATGGGCATGTCTTCGTACAATTTTTCGTCTACAAATGCTATAGTGAAATAAATGGCTGTCACGTTCCGAAACAGTATATTTTACAGCGACGACGAAAGTATTCAAACTCAGTACGAAGACTCGTATTCGAAATTTGGTTGAGTCAATTTTCTATTGCTAACACTAACACAACCGTATTTAGTGGATGACTTAAAACAGCAACGTCTAAAAGGTCAATACCATATGGTGACCAGGCCATTGGCCATTTCTACAACTGTCTTCTTTGGAATACTCTTCATTGGAATCTCAGCGTTATTGACATCCGCAAATCAACAAGGTTTGGTTCGACGCTCGTTTGATGCTTACTTTTTTGGATTTTAACGGGACCGGACAATCATGATTCGAAAATAATTTTCAAGAGGATTCCAAAACTGTTTTTCATTTTTGCTGAATGACTCTGGTATTCGAGAAAAACGCAACTGAAATCTGGCGGCGCAGTGGTGTAGTTAGAGGTGAGACGGAGTTTTTTGCGTGAAACCAAGAATATGACCGAACAAAACAGTTGGAAATTTGATTCACTGGTTTCAAATGCGTTTTCCTCGAAGCACAGAGGTATTCAGGTAAACTCAAAGCTATTTTCGGAATTAGCAAAGCATGTAACCTCAGATCATTCCTAATTATGAATCTATGTTTAGTAACTCTTGTGAGACGTCGATATGACAACATCTCCTCGGGATATCTCGAAATTGTAATTCCCAAGCACATCCCGGTAAGTTCACAATCATCATCTTTTTTATGTTTTTACTCTCCAGCCACCAATCTACTTCTACTACGAGCTGAAGAACACTTTCCTAATGCACCGATCTTTGAATGCGGCATTTTGTGCGGAGCAGCTTATCGGACCGGGACTCACTGATAACCTTCATCCTTGTGACGAGTTCAGGAACATCAAATACTCGTGTGAGAAGCGAGACACTCCGTCTTTTCCATTTCGATATCCCCTTCGGTGTGCCACCGACGCGACATTTTACGCTCCTATCGGTGGTCTGGGTGCGATCATGTTCAACGGTAAATTAGGTGCTTTTTTTCTGAAACATTTTTGTTTTTGTTTGCAGACACGTTCAAACTTTCCATAAAGAACAATCCGATTTCGTGGCATTGGAATGGAGTGGTTTCCGATAGTTTCCGGAATTCATTTGCACAGCCAGAGGACAACGTGGATAATCTTTGCAACTCGTCAATGGTACGAGCACATGTTTTATCTGATTAAAATTAAATCAGTGTTGTTTTAGTTCAGAAAGACTGTAAAACCAGCGGAATGGCCTAGACACATCTGCGAGATGGGTGGCTATCGAAATGTCGATTTTATCCAATGGATGCAACCATCGTCCTATCAAAACTTTAAGAAATTCTATCGAATTCTGAACACAACTGCTCATCCGCACGGACTCAAACCCGGTGTATACCGACTGGATTTCACCAACACTTGTGAGATTATAACGTTTTTTTATTCACATCAGTACATTAGGAATTTCAGATTGGCCACTTTTCTCGATGGAGAATCAAATGGAAAAGTATTTCTGGATTCTCCATCCGTCTTGGGTCGGAACTGAGCAAAAGTTCTTGGAAGTCATCTATCTTGTAGTCGGAATCGGTCTCTTAACACTGTCTATTGGTCTCGTTGGGTTCCAAATTATCATGCTGAACCGAAGAAAACAATACGACGATGAAAATGATGATTGTTAAGTTGGAAATGAAGAATATTTACTGCGCCTCCTTTGTTCTCTCCGCGGCGGACGTCAACATTACAACGTTTCTATGTATCTGCCGCCGCTCCCATCTCTTTCTCCTTCTCTCCGACTTCTCTGTTTCTCCGCCGAGATGCCAAGTTATATTTAGCGTCGCCCTCTCGTACAATCGCCGCCCGGTTAGCTCAGTCGGTAGAGCACCAGACTCTTAATCTGGTTGTCGCGGGTTCGAGCCCCGCATTGGGCTTATCTTTTTATATTTTTTTGCTATTTGGTTTTTGGTTTTCAGATCAATACAATGGGTGTTGGAGTGAAAAATGATTCATTTGATGTTGATGAAACAACACATTGAAAGAAAATTGATGAAAAGTGCTAGCCGCATTTCTAAGCGAGGAATGTTTAATATCCTGGGGCGGTTCTTGGCGGTGGGCAGTGGTCGCATCCTCCGCGGGATCCCTCTTGCCCTGGCGCTCCTGGCTGTCCATCGGATCCTGGCTTTCCTGGAGCTCCATCCGGACCGTTTTGTCCCTGCTCTCCTGGCTGTCCTGGCTGTCCGTCGCGTCCTGGACGACCGGCTGGTCCTGCTGGTCCCTGTGGTCCTGGGGTTCCTGGTGCTCCTGGCTCTCCGGCTGGAGAGGGCTGCACGGAAGATCCTCCTTGTGGTCCGATTGGTCCGGCTGGTCCGTCAGATCCTGGGTTTCCAGATGGTCCACGTGGTCCTGGTGGTCCGCGCGCTCCTGGTCGTCCGGAAAGTCCGTCGCGTCCTGGCTCTCCGGCGGCTCCGTTGTCTCCGTCTGGTCCTGGACGTCCTGGTGGTCCAGCTGGGGCTTCTGGGCAGTCGAAGCAGAACTGGCTGGCGTCTGGCTTGTAATCGTCGCCATCGGCGTCCTCTCCTGGGTTTCCTGGACGTCCGTTAGATCCGTCCTTTCCTGGAGTTCCTTCGAATCCTGGTGGTCCTGGTGGTCCGGCTTGCCCAACTCCGCAAGAGCAGCAGGTTCCCTCCGATGCGGCGCGGGCCTTTCTTGGCGCACGGACGACGTTGAGCTTGGCGAGCTCACCCTCAAGAGAAGAGGCACGGACACGACAGAAGTTGACTTCATCTTGAAGAGAAGAGGAGACGGATTGGAGGTAGAGACAGAGCATTGGCACGGCGACGATGGCGGTGAGGGTAGACACCGTGGAGACAGCGATTCCGAAAAACGCGAATCTCTTCACCTTCTCGGTTTCGAATTTCTTATCCATAGCCATCTGAAAGTTATTTTGGCATTAGGCAAACCAAGCGAAGATTTGAAAAAAAGTTACCTTTGAGAACACCAGAAAAAGATGGAACTGATACATTGAATGGGGCGATGCGCCTCTCTTTTATACCCATTTTGCTGTTCTGAGATAGCTGTTGATAGTTACCGAAACGTTACACTAAAAGAAAACGGTTTTTGTGGATGTGCGCCCCCTTCCTCGTCTGCGTCTCTCATTTGATCGGTCCTGGTTGCGGTCATACATGGCAACGTTATCACATGAGTTAGAGAAACAAAGAACGGCAAAAAAAGTGGCGAGAGATAATGATTGTGTGATATGGTACAGTACCCGCGCATCTTGATTTGTGGCCGTTTCTCTTCTCTCGCTTATTTTTGTCGGGTGCTAGGCGAAATGAGACATTATTAAATGGGTGGAGGACGGAAAGAAGACAGTGAAGTTCCTGAAACGACTTTGGCAATGATTGTGTTTGTCAGTTTTCCCAATTTCCTTTTCGAGACGGTACTATCAAATGGTATTGATGAATGGGAATGGTCGTGATGTTGGCGGAACGTCATTGGACGGATGGGACAGCCGAGGACCACATGCCATGGGCCAGGATTACATCGGAAAGAGTTGAGGGCTCTCGTGACTGGAGACCCTTCACGATGTGCACACTGATTTCATAAACAAAGCAAGATTTCTTGGAGTAGAGCACACAAACAACTTGCATCTTCGAGAAAACAATGATATTACTTTATCTTTTTCTATTCTTACTCCCATTTGCCCATTCAAAGTATACGGTACGTTGTAATCGCTGACTCATCCATCACCCATTCCTCGATGATTTTCCAGCCCGACTGGCAGTCACTTGACAGCCGACCGCTCCCTTCTTGGTACGATGACTCAAAGTTTGGCATCTTCTGCCACTGGGGACTCTATTCTGTACCCGCTTTTAGGTTTGTTGTCATGTAATCTCTCGGCTGATAAGAAGTGAAAAAAAAGGGAAAGGAATTCGAAAGTTTGATTTTAAAAAAGTGCAGAGGTCTGAACTGGTTTGCAATATCACTATCAGACAAGGAACTTTTATGTGTCCGAACATCTCCTGTTTTCGATTTTGATTTTCTTCTCGAATTACGTCTCTGTTTGCGAGAGAGAAAGTGAAAAACTTCCCCCTTGGCGCCCAGTGACAACAATTACACAATCATGATGGAAACCCACACAGATCCGAATGGATGTGGTGGTATTGGAAAGGAACGCAGCCAGATGCGGGTGTTGTAAACTTTGTGGAGAAAAACTACAAACCCGGAACCACGTACGCGGACTTTGCCAAGGATGTTAGTGAGATAATTGTTCCTGGTTAACTGAACTTTTGACCAATTTGCAGTTCACCGCCGAGAACTTTGATCCGAAAGAGTTTGTGGAGACAGTCAAGTCTTCTGGAGCAAGGTTACAATCGCCCCAAAACGTTTAGCTGTACTTCTGTTCCAGATACTTTGTGTTTACCAGCAAACATCACGAAGGATTCACAATGTGGCCGAGTAAAACTTCCTGGAATTGGAATTCCGTAGACATTGGACCTAAACGAGATATTGTCGGTGAATTGCGAAATGCGTTCAAACAAACAGACGTTCACTTTGGCCTGTATTTCTCGCAATTCGAATGGTTTAATCCACTTTTCCTGGACGACGGAAAGTTCAATACTACACTCTATCCGGAGGTACTTTGTACTTTCGGCCTTCCGACACATATCCGTTTGAATAGCTTTTAATAATTGTGTGGCTGAGGTCTGGTTTGTTTGCCTCAGTTTTCAATTTTCAGCAAGTGTCCTATCCTCAAATGATTGAAATCGTCAACAAGTATCGGCCGGACGTAGTGTGGAGCGATGGAGAATGGGATAAGAGTGATGAGTACTGGAGGGCCAAGGAGTTCTTGACGTGGCTCTACAATACTAGGTTGGTACCACAAAAATACTTCTCATAAACCCCTTTTCTGCTTTGAAATATGCTGTGTACGTGTGTGTAGTTATTGTCATTCGGAACTAGAAAAAGTAGAGAATGAGGTTTTCTGACTTGCTAGTCACCCAAATGTATTTGAAATCTAACTCTAAATCCATGTACAAACAATCTTCTAATTTTTTCATTTTCAGTCCAGTCAAAGATCAAGTAGTTGTCAACGATAGATGGGGAGCTGGCACCATGGGAAAACACGGAGGATTTCTGACCTACTCGGACCATTATGACCCCGGAACCCTTCTGGCCAGGAAATGGGAGAACTGCATGACCCTGGACAAGCACTCGTGGGGAAACCGAAGAGATATGCGTGCCGCCGACGTGTACACCGCTTTTGAAATCATAGAACAACTGGCTAGAACCGTAGCATGCAATGGAAATCTTCTTTTGAACATTGGTCCCGATATGCACGGCCGCATCCCCACTATTTTCGAGGACCGACTCGATGAAATCGGCAGGTAACTGGAGCCGGATAAATAAACAAACGACACTCGGCTTTCAGATTTATTGAGGTAAACTCCGAAGCGTTGTTTGGCACCAAGCCGTGGATATTTCAAAATGACACCAGTGCCTCGAATGTTTGGTAAACAATCTCTCAAAGGTATGAGCAAAATTGAAATTCGCTGCAGGTACACGTCAAAATACCGGACATCTCGACTCTTGGGCAATGAAGTGTTCAACAGACAGATGGAACAGGTCACAATTGTCTATGCCTGGATTTTGGACACATCCCCAGCAGTTTTCGAGCTGAAATCGGTGAAAACCACGGAGAAGGTAAATCATCCTGAATTACACCAAAACCGGTTCCACATTTCATTTCACCCCATTTGACACGGACGACGTGTAGAACATAACTCGTCATTCATTTTATAATTTTTCAGACCACTGTCAATGTTCTCGGAACTGATGGGGTGCTGACTGGTTTCGGACGGGCCGAGTCTCTGTCCATTCCCCGGTCGAAGATTGATTGGAAGAAGGTTCCGCGTCGTGATGTGATCGTTTTGAAGATTGAAAACGCGAGAAGTGATGGGACAATTCCAGATATGGTCCTATCCTCTCTCAAAAGAAAAAGCTTCCAATGACGTGATCGAAAATGACCATGAAGAGCAAGATAAGACAACACATATATAACATTAATAATTCATGTCATTGAGTCGAATACAATATTTTATTCTCCTTCCAAATGCTCATGTCATTCAATCGAAATTCAATTCATCATTACAACAATAACAACACGAACGAACCCCCCTAGTTTTCAAAACTTGCATTTTCCATTTTTCCAACAAAGACATTAAGACCTCGGAGGCGACGGTGACTGAACCGTCGCCCGTTTTCTTTTTGCATACCCATTAAAGGACACGAGGTGGTAACTGAGAAGACATTGAGGACACACGCGCAGACAGCAGTAATTAAATATTTTGGAAGAACGACACGACCTTTCCGCGGTTGAAATAGGTTGGAAAGTAAGGGGAGACGAGCCAAATGGGGCGCGGGCGTCTGACAGACAGACAGACAGACCGCCTGCGGAGAAACCGAGAAACCTTGAAATGACCTCACTTGTCAGCCTGTTTATGAAGCTGTCACCACAAAAAAGGGATTAGGGGTGGCCGGACCGAAACTTGTAATTTTTTCAGCTAGGCGCGGCGGAAAAAAGAAAATTATTGTTCTTTGGGGCTAGTAAGTCGCTTCTGAAACGCTCAATACTCCTTCGCCTCCGGAAAAGGCAGTTCCACTCAACACAGGTGCATGGTTCAAAAAGTGTACAAAATTTTACAAAAACTTGTTTATCTGCTGGACAAGCAACAGATCGGTAACCTTGCACTTATTTCTAGCTTTTTACCGCACACAACCCGAAATCTTGCAAAAACTACAGGGGTCCAGGCAGAATTCAACGTTTCCAAAGGCGCATTGAATCTGATCTTTCGTACTCTCCTCTCATTCCCTCATGTCTCACCTATTCATGCCGCCTACTCATTTGGGACCAGGTCCTTCCGTTTAGGTATGGCGTAATTCTCTCTAAGGCGGAAGAAGAGCCGCCAAAGAGCCCTTGTTGAGTAACACTCACATCCTTTTGTTGCACGTGTCCCCCCTATTGTCTTTGTTTTTGTGTTTGATCAACCGACTTTGACCAAATGGTCCCTTCAAGTTGGAAGAGAAAAGCAAATGAAAGACCTGAGCGCATTTTGATTTATGCCAGTGGCCAGAGAGGAAAATTGGAATTGCCCTGCCTACTAATTGAAATATCAGAGTGAGTGATTAGTGCACCGAATCGAAAAATCTACAGTAATCCGTATCCGAATCCGGAGTCTGTGTGTCTGGTGACCAATGATCAGTGTACGAAAGAAAACAAAACAGACATTCTTTTTCCCCGTTCCCAATAATTTATCGCTCAACTTGACAATAAAATTGGTTTTTGTCGAACGAATTCGTCGAATCGCTGCCGTTCTGTAACCGCCAATTTGGAAAGCCGGGTTTTTCTGGTTCCTCGGCTACAAATACACCGTTTCCGTTTTATCCGTCCCTCCTTCTCAACCACTATTTTGTTTTAATTGCCAGCCAACCCTACTAACTCGATCCTTGGCCAGGCCAGAATCCATGGAGGAGAGGGGGGAGATTCGCAAACCGTGAAATAATAATTATCGGGCGCTGGATGGGGGGCTGTAGCGCCAAAACACTTTTATTCTTTTCATTCATAAATGGAGAAGGGTATACATGCATACACACTACCTGCACGCATAGTTAATTTTGGACCCATATAAAACTGGTTTCAGAGGCGAAAATGAAATGCTTTTGGTTGTCATGGTGAAAAGTCCATTAGCCAAATGGGAAATCCGAATAATTTAAGAGACCGACCCCCACAATAGAAATGGAATGGATAGGAGGGAAAGGAGAAAGAATAGAAATCCGTATTACCAAAAGTGGGTTGTAAAAGTCGGTCTGAACAATGACGATTATCTTCCGGCGACCACAAGAAGCTCATGACGATGGTAAAATAGACTAAAAGAGTCATAAAGCTAGTTTATGAGCCCCTGTACTGGTACCGATAATGGCCTGCCTCTGCGGCTGACTATGAGGCTGAGAGTCATCAAAATTCGGGCCCATTTCCGAAAAACATTGTACTTTTCCTTTTCTCAATGTTCCTATCGAATGGCACGGGTCGCTTCAACTTTTACGACCCTTTTACACAATCAACCAATCTCTTAGGTTCTATTTCTCACGAAACCTGCCCAACCTCCCATTTCATCTAGGTAGACGCGAGGAGGAGTGTTTGTGACCCGCATAATATTTCGTAATAATCGGAGCGTTTGTTCTCCTCCTCTTTGCCTTCAAACATGCCGCTCTTGCCAGAAAAAAGTGGGGGCAAAGTGAGCGGAGCATGATGAAATCATGAAATCGGTCGGAAGACATGAAGAAAGACTGTTTATGTGGCCAGCTGGTGGGTTACAGTAGGCTACAGCAGAAACTTTGACATCTGTGCTCCTACATCGTTCTTTCTGAATGTGATTGGGTTGTGACTAGAAACTAGAAATCTGGGGGGAAATGGAGTCAAAGGATCAGATCAGATTTTCGGGTAAATATAAGGATGAAGGATACAAATGACACAAAAGTACGACATCGTCATCAAGCATTTTTGCATCATCATTATCTAATGGAACTTCCTCTCTTTGCATCACATATTCTTTAGTAACATGCACTTTTACCCGCGTTTTTTTTTAGTTTTTCAACTCTATGCTTGTCTAGAGAGAAAAAGTGCATTCTCAGACGCACTTTACTGTACGATTTTCCTCATTTTTCGGTAAACATGTCCGAAAAAAGATCAATGAGCTCTCGTAGATTTCAGGCCTAGTTGGGTAACAGACTCCGCCTTCTATTGGTCCTACATTTATTCCGGTTGAGGCTTTGGCTCCACCCCTCGCTCCCCTTCTCCCGCGCCGTCATCGCCGCCAGCCGACATTCGTGAGTTTCGTGCCCACGACCACAACACTTCACTGCTCTCAACTCGTGATCTGGATCTGGAATCCTGAATCCAGCACAACACAACTATTGCTAAATCCATTTTCTATCAACGGATTTTCACCCCCAAACTCCTCGTCGCCTCGTTTTCCTGGTAAGTAAGGGAGGGTTGGGCTCTTCACACACACAAAGCACTTGACCATCTCATCTCTTGTATTAAGACACCGTACACATAGGCTGTTCCGCAAAGAAAAGTGGGCGGGCAACAGGTGGGGCAAGGCCGGAACGCACCAAGGTGACAGGTGTTCGTGTGACCGCCAAGCACACAGGTGTCAAGCAGCCGGCGCCATTCCATGCCATGCCTATGACCGAGACGTAAAAACTGCAAGGGTAGATCTTATCGATTGGCTAGAAGTTCTGAATTTTCCATCCCCCTAATTTAGAAAGCTAGTCAATCAGAGCCGTTATTTGGTCACTTTAGGAATAAATTCCATTTTGCGTGAAATCTGACAACAAGAGGGGCTCTCATCGTAAACAGCAGAGCTGAGTTGGTAATGGACTGTTTTGAATTTAGAAATTCAAAATGCTAATTGTGCAGGGATTTGGTAAACAACCCTCTAGCTACCGTGCTCGCTAACAATGGTCATTTATTCGGTGCGGTCGGTTGCGCAGAACAGGAGCACGACAGACACAACAGAGACAAATTACCGCGATTCATAGTGACCGGTGGGGGGTGACTAGTTGATTTGGACCAGTTCATTATAGTTAGTCAGTTTTTGTCGCGGGGGGTACGGTAGAACTGATCCAATTTAACGCGCTCGTGCTTCTTCGAGAAGCCAATGTCATAAAATCGGTGTGTGGAAAGCGGAAAATTCAATTTGACCAAATGGGCACAACGCATCTTGGGATGAGATCTGAGGATCTCAGGAACGCTTTTCATCTCATCTCCTCATCTTGATTGCATTTCATTTTTCCTTTTCTCCCTCCTTTCGCTGGTTCTCTTTCCTGCTGCTGCTCGTGCATAAGTCCGGCGGCAAGAGCCCATCAAATATCTTCTTTTCTCGAATGTTTCAGCAGTGACAAAGACATAATGTGGGTTTGGGCCTCGGGTTTCAACGGAAGGACATATGGATGCAATAATCTGTTGTCGTTGTCATCTTTCATCTTCTTCTCCCCCCATTTCACAAAAACGTCAGTTGCACAATTTAGATTGAATGTTAGGATAGGAGGATGTGTTGGGAAAGCATCGCATTGTGATGTAGACTATGAAAAAAGAGGGGTGAGGGAGAGGAGTAAACTTTAAAACCAAACTGAACTAAACTGAACCAAACAGTTTTATAGTTTTCCACCATCCATTCTACTATACCTCATAGATATTATCTCTCCAACCAACTTTTTCTGTGGTTTTTCGCCGTCTAGGTGGGTGGCTTCTTCCCCGTAACGACCTCATTGGCGGGCTTTTTAAAAGAAACGAAAGCCCATTCGGAAAAGTGGTGACAATGATGATTATGGGCTTGCGGACGGGGGAATGGGATGCTAATCAGTTTTTGATACCGGAATTTGCGTCGCGCTGGAAATAACTTTTTGTTTGAGTATAAATCCAAAATCCAATTTCCTGTTGATGATAGATTTGAAAAACAGATTTTGATGAGAAGTCAAAAATAGATAATCCCTAAACTAGTCCCCCACAAAACGTCATTCACTGGATATATGAAAAATGTCAAAAACGAAAAGAACCTTTTCTCATTTCCTATCAAATGAAGGCAAAAAAACTATAAAGCCCTCATGTTGTTTTATCGGACATTCACATCACATCGCATCTTGGCTCCAACTCTTTTTCCTTTTCCTTTTCACTTTCGGCTGATCTCTGACCAGCGAAACGGAACGCAAAGCGACCGGAGTCAATCAATCGTGCGAGCGGAAATGAGAAATATTCGATTAGTTTTGTCATTTTCCCACCTACCCATTCTCTATAAAATAGAATGTCTGACTCATTGGTTCTTCCTTTGCCGCGCCTCGTTTATAACCTGCTTTTATCACTCATTTCAGGCCGGTGATTCATTGAACAAGCGTCACCGACTTACTGTAGCCATTGTTTTCAAGCCCGCGGCTACCGTAATCATTGTGG